ATCCCCCCCCACACACACACACACACACACACCCTTCCAGGCGATAAACAATGACCAGTCTCTAATAAAAGAGGGTGGGAGTCTGGAATGCAGCTAGGGTTCGGGAGACGGGAGGCTTGGATCCCCTACCCTTCGTCCTTTCCCGTATACAAGCCACAAGCTGCATGAAGCTTCCAAGTAGTTCTTAAAACCTAAAAACTCTTTAAGCTGGCTCAGGCACAAAGGGAAAACAACACCACCATGCAGTGCAAAATCCATACGCCGGGCCACTCTTACCGATAGAATATCTTGGACAGAAGAGATTGGAAATTTATACCACTCCTCTTCCCGCAACCCCTGCCCCAAATCAAAGATACGAAAATAGCACGTTTTGGCTTTTGCGCAGCGTCATCCTTGATTTGGGGGGAGGGGTTGGGGGTGGGTTGGCTTGCTGTTCCATTTTATTCTGTCCAAGATTGTAGTCAAGATTACTGTGGGATGGGTCGTGAGAGGAAAAATTTGTATCGGTCAATGAGCATTGTCTCAAAAACAGGATGATAAAAATAGGTTACTTTGACTTTAGACTCTACTGGCGTGTGTCCATCTTAAACACTTAGGGGTCAATGCGCATATTTGACGAAAAATAGTAACATGCGAAAATAAACACAGACGTCACAACACGGTAAAGTACCGTTGATTGCTTTCACTTTCGACTCGAACTGGCTTGTCCGTCTCTTTTCTCTTGGTCCTCAACTGCAATCTCACTGCTTTCATTCCGGAAAAAATCAACAGTCTACAGTGAGAAGACCCAAAAGTAAGTGTACAATTAGTAGACAAGTACCGTAGTCTAGCGATGGCCATTTATAATCGAACTAAACGGTTCTGTACAGAATTCAGGTTTGCCGCTATAATTATATCACAAACGGAAGACTGGGGGGAGGGGTGTTTAGCTAGTTATGATGAATTACGCCTGACATTTTAGCCAATCAGAAACAGAGAGAAATACTCTGAATGAATAATAAAAGAGGGTGGGAGTCGGAAATGCAGCTGGGGTTTGAGAGACGGGAAGTTTGGACTCTCCTCTACCAGAGGCTTTTGCCTCCAACCTTCCTCCCTCCCCCGTATTCAAGCCACAAGCTGCATGATGTCAGCTTTAAATTAGTTTTTGCAACCTAAAAACTCTTTGAGCTGGCTCAGCCACAAAGAGAAAAACCCAACACAATGCAGTGCAAAATTCATAACCCGGCCGCTATTACCGATACAATATCTTGGACAGAAGAGACTGGAAATTTAAGGATAGGAAAATAGCACATTTTGGCTTTTGCGCAGCTTCATCCTCGACTTTTTTGGGGGGTGTGGGGGGGAGGCGGTTGGCTTGCTGTCCCATTTTATTCTGTCCAAGATTGTAGTCAAGATTACTGTGAGAGGAAAAGTTTGTACCTGTAAATGAGCATACTTTGACTTTAGACTCTACTGGCGTGTGTTCATCTTGAACACTTAACTCATTAATCACGATCACCTTTGCGTGGGCGGTGAGGGGAAAAGTATGTTAATAGGGGTCAATGCGCATATTTGACGAAAACTAATAACATGCTAAAATAAACACAAACGCCACAACACGGTGAAGTACCGTGGATTGCTTTCACTTTCGACTCGAACTGGCGTGTCCGTCTCTTTTCTCTTGGCCCTCAACTGAAATCTCACTGATTTCATTCGGGAAAAAATCAACAGTGTACAGCAGTGAGAAGACCCAAAAGTAAGTGTACAGTTAGTAGACAAGTACCGTAGTCTAGCGACGGCCATTCAGAATCGAACGAAACGGTTCTGTGCTGTATTGTTTGCTATACAGTGAAACCTGTATTAAGCGGACACCGTATTAAGAGGACACCCTCTATTAAGCGGACAGTAGCCGAAGTCCCCAAATCTATTTCCCTTATTTACTTTAAATGAAACCTTTATTAAGCTGACACCTCTATTAAGCGGACGCGGACACCTAAAAAGTACCTGAAATGGACATTTCTATTGCTGCCAACCTGTATTAAACGGACACTTCTAATTTAATTCCACCACCCAACATGCCAGACACCAGAAATGCTAAAGATTGGCTAGAATTGTCATCCACCAATTTTTTCGATTTTTACATTAAAAAACGCGACTTGACGAACTTATTTGATTAGTTTCCCAGGACAGTATTGTTTTCTATTTCGTTTTGTTTGTATCGAGCTTTTTTCACTCATCTGATGTCTTCAAATTTGAGTTGCAATATATGTTTAAGGTACTATGATCAATTGGTCTACTTTGATGATAAAGAAATTCATGCAAACGTATATCGTCATAGTCTCTGGAAGTATTCTAAACGTTTCCACTGTTCATTTGAATGGCATTTGACACCTCATATGTCGTTATCTATTGAAACCTGTATTAGGCGGACACCCTGTATTTAAGCGGACACTACAGCTTTCCCCGAGGGTGTCCGCTTAATACAGGTTTCACCGTAATTGTATCACAAACGAAAGACCGGGGGAGGGGCGTTTACGTGTGCTTTCACAGTTTGCGCACTCTGATTTTAAGCCCTGACCCAGAACTCTCAACACCTACAGAATCACGCCATACCACATGTCCTCTGGGGGGAAAGAGTCCAAGTGTCAAGTTGACGTCTCGCAGAGAAAATAAAGAATTGGCCAAAACCAACCTCAAAAACATGGACAGAACCATGCAAGAATTACAGCATATCGAATCTATAAAATATTTACGGGCCAAAAAAGTACAAACATTAATCACAAAGGACTGCAAAGGACCGCAAACGAATATGCCGAAGAACGTAGGATCTATAAAGACCTGATCAGCAAAAATAATAATGTAGACATATTAAATTCTGCAAGCAGAATACTGCAATGCTGATCGTACTACGTGAAAATTAACTCTTCAAGACATCAACACGACACCGAAAGAACTCAAAACAGAGCGGGATTGTAGCCATAGACAGCTGTCTCGTGGATATTTTTCATCAGAGCATTCTCTGGTTGTTGCGCCATACTGACGAGCCCCAAAAAGGGCCAAACAGCTGTCTATGGCTACAATCCCGCTCTGTTTTGAGTTCTTTCGGTGTTGTGTTGATGTCTTGCAGATTTAATTTTCACGTAGTACGATCAGCATTGCAGTATTCTGCAATCAATCACGATGACCTGTCCGTGGGCGGTGAGGGGAAAAGTATGTTAATAGGGGTCAATGCGCATATTTGACGAAAAATAATAACATGCGAAAATAAACACAGACGTCACAGCACGGTGAAGTACCGTGGATTGCTTTCACTTTCGACTCGAACTGGCGTGTTCGTCTCTTTTCTCTTGGCCCTCAACTGAAATCTCACTGATTTCATTCCGGAAAAATCGACAGTGTACAGCAGTGAGAAGACCCAAAAGTAAGTGTACAGTTAATAGACAAGTACCGTAGTCTAGCGACGGCCATTCAGAATCGAACTAAACTGTTCTGTTCTGTATTGTTTGCTATAATTGTATCACAAACGGAAGACCGAGAGAGGGGTGTTTTCGTGTGCTTTCGCAGTTAGGTGTCTGAACCGTCTCCGGCTAAACCGAATGGCCACAAACATTCTATTATAATGGGAGCAAGGGTGGCGCAGTGGTGAGAGCACTCGCCTCCCACCAATGTGGCCCGGGTTCAAATCCCGGCGTCTACACCATATGTGGGTTGAGTTTGTTGTTGGTTCTCTCCTTTGCTCCGAGAGGTTTTTCTCTTGGTACTCCGGTTTTCCCCTCTCCTCAAAAACCAGCATTTCCAAATTCCAATTCGACCAGGAATCAGGTAGATGAAGAACCACTATGTGGATGTACTTCCTGCAAATCGTTATTTATTTATTTATTTATTTATGTTAATGAAGGAATAATATATTGTTCTGCCCCTTGTGTTTGGGAGGCAATGATGTTTAAAATACAGTGAGACGTTTTTAAAAAATGCATTAGGCTAAAAATTTGAAGCTGATGCTATGACCATGATGAATGTACTGCGGATATTTTTTTTGGTGGGGGGAAGGGAAACAAAGGAATACGGTAAGCGATATGTCTACGTCAGTTTCGCGGAAAGCAATCAAAACAAGCACATGACCCCAACACTATATGATTCCACACGTTTCGACACGTTCCCGCTACTTTTCGACCAGTGACGCTAAAAACAATAAAAGAAATTTAAAGTTTTCCCTGCACCAAGATTCAATCAGATCACAATGCATCTCAAATCGTTTTTTTCTCTATTCCTGCTAATAAATTTACTACACCAGCGCCTGATGTTTATATTAATCCGGATTGTGCTCAATGAATAACCCCTGGAATTTTTTTTGCAGATAGTTTCCTAGCAAGTTGATATTAATTTTCTTGTAAAAACATCTTTTTGCCATTCCCCTATATTCCATATACTTTTTTAACAAGACATTGATATGCAGGGTTAGATAGACTGTTCACAGTCTCCTATTTTTTCGTGAGATCGTTTAGATATACCGCGTCTTACCGTCACGGCTATCTACCGAGGGGGCGGGCGTCGGGGATTATAGCTTCCTCCCAAGCCGTCCCCCCCCCCCCCAAGTAGTTGACACTCATGCAAGATGGCAGCCCGTAACGCAAAGCGCTCGATCTCGACGATCTTACGGGAAAATAGAGGACTGTGAACAGTCTAAGGGTTAGACGAAGGCGAAAGGCGGCGCGTCACACATTCCGCACCCGGGGAAGGGGGGAAACTTCCTTATTTGGCCTATACGGGTATGTGCCGCTGAAAAGGGTCTGGTTTCCAAGAAGGGTCTCAATGGATTAACCGATAGGCGTAAAACGGCCAAAAATTTAGTCGATAGCCGTAAAAATTGAAAAATTTTAACTGTTAGCCGTAAATAGGGTAAAAAAGAGTTAACCGTAAAAGAAATTGTTCCCTAGATTTGTTATTTTTAAGGAAGGTGATAAAATTCACTTATGGTTGCGTCTTTTTATTCCCCGGCTACTTTTACTCCGTACGCACGTTAGGCCAAGCTCCTTTTAGGTGTTGACCTAGACCTAGGCTCCATTTCCGCCGCTCACTCGAAGAACCAAGTTTTTTCCATAGGGAAAATCTGGCTTCTTGCTGAGGATTAATATTTGTGATTTTAAGGAGGTCGTGCCCTCGAAATACTAGTGACACAGATGTCACTGTTTGTAAAACACGTTGCTGATAAACAACAATTCCCTGTTTTTCTCTGACGCTACGGTAGACATTGCCATGCCTAGTGCCTGTACGGCGTCTTCCCACGCAAGCTCGGTCAAGGCATTTCGGTGGCATACCTGAGGAAAAAGAAAAAAGAGAAACAGTGAGAAACTCGGACCACGTGACCCGGAATGCATTAGCCGTGCGGAATAATGAGGCCTACGGACAAGTCACGGCAGACAGTCGTTCTGTACAGTCCTTCTGTATCATTAAAAACACTGGACACGGAAATTTTGTTATTGGCCGTTTTCACACTAGAGCTAGAAAATGGATCATCCGTCAGACACTAGCCTCGTCCCCTCCCCCACAGACACCCCTTTTCCTTTTTTTTTTCTGAAGGGAGGGGGCGGCTGTACACAGGCTATCTAGAACGGATCATCCATCTTCAAACTGTCCGTCAAAATTGGCGGATAAAGTCAGGCAGATTGTTCATTTAAAATTAAAACAGTTCCATTTTCAAATTAAGACGTATTACATATCTGGCGCGAATTATCAAACGGATAACCCGTCTCACACGAATGATCTGTTTCTGGTGTGAAAAGGGCCATTTCTGTTATAAATGAATTCGCGCCCCGGCCTTGAGTTGAGCGTTCGCGTGTCTGCTTTTGCTTTTTCACAAAGATTATTTTAATATTGACTGTTGACATTTCTATGCGTAAAATAATATTAGAAGTAAAATACTGTATGAAGCATGATCTATTAAACGTTAACATTTTTCAAAAGAATAGCTTATTTCATCCCGAGATGATCCTAAGACCTTTATTTTGCTTTAAAGTTAGAACAAATAAAGGTTTATTAATATTTAACTCCTTGAAACAAAAGGAATTAATTTTTAACGTTTTGTTAACAGTAACTGAAAAAATTAACCGATAGCCGTAAAAGAGCCGAAATTTTAGCCGATAACCGTAAAAGCCACCACCCCATTGAGACCCTCTTTCAAGGTCTTGAGTATTAGACTATTAAGCCTTCTTAAGAGGGTGTCCTTTTTTAAACTGGAAGCTTTTTAAAGAGTGTGAAGGCTTGCGATAAGCGGCCTAAATTTGCAAAACCAATATTTTTTTCCTAAATATCTATTTCCACGATTTAAGTGTGAAAAATTACTTGCTTCGGTAAGTAAAAAAAAAAAATTATTTCAGGGTCAGAAACTCATGTCTCCTGGAGTCTTAAACAGGGTAGTGAAATGAGCATTTCTGGAGAACAGGATCAGGGTTTGAAGGCCTCAGCGGTAAACAAGACAAAATAGACAATATTTATTTGGATCTTATACCTCCTGGTACATCGACCGTTTCAAATAATTTACAATTACAATCTCCTCTGTTATTACATAATTGAAGACAGCAAGTTCACCTTCCCTCTACCCAAACTTCTCTTGAGTGCCCCCACCCCCCGGATTCCACACTTCAGCACTTGAATTGACAGTAGTCAACAAGAAGTGTAAATACGCAATGCATATCATAAAATGTTTTCTTCTTAAACTTGCAGATCCGACAATGAAACCCAGAATCTACCCATTGTAAAGGTTTTGAGGAAAATACTGTGCTTGTTGTCACCCTCTAAATTCTTCTGGGTCAAAGCGAAAGGTGTCATTGTTTCCTGAGACACGTTAGGGGAGAAAGGGAGAAAGTCTGTTTGAAGAAGTCCGTAAAAGAATATTTAACTCAGTGCTTCAAATTAAATCAGCTCAGCTCCTAAACCATGTTCAAGCTTGTATTTTGTATTTATTTTGCCACACAGAAAAATTGCATGATTAGAATTACAAAAAAGATAGAAAAATGTAGAAAGTAAAGGAAACTATAAAGCTGATAATGTTAACTAGGCCCCCTCAATTACAATTTTTCAAAGATGAACTAAAAATTACGGCGACAGATACACTTATGTTCAAAGGAAATTAAAGTAACAATATATTAAGAAAGTTTACAAAAGATGAATATCAAACAGTTTTTTAACACCAATTTCGGCATAATTTTAATCATGTTGTCCACTTCCTTCCACTTAAAAGATTTTAATCTTATTCTCAAAAAGCCAAAACGGAGGCAAGTTTGAAAATGAGGCATTTTACGTCAGCTTTTTTCGCCTTTCACATTCTGAGAAAAAAATGTTTCCTCGTTAGCGTAGATTAAAAAGTCTATCAAAATACCCAACCAAGGAAGACAAGCCATGCTTAGTAAATGAGGATTTACAACTTATTGACATCGATCGAGTTAACGACAATTTAGAACAACGGAAGTTATTTCGTTTAAATCATATTAAGAGATCCTGTATTTTTTTCCTACAACGTTCATCAAGTTGTTTCTTAATTTATTTTTTCCAAAGGTTCCAGGTCTCACCAGTGCGTCAAGCATTGCGTCAAACATGGCCCTTTCAAAAGAATACACCAAAGAACAGCTGAACTACTTCAGAATTTGCTATGTAACCACTGATATAATAGCCGAAGGCCTCCGAGAACTTTTTAAACGTGAATGGGACAATAAATACAAATCAACGCCATTGGGAGAATGGAAAGATGTGCCCCAGAATGGAACAGACTTTTACAACGGCGAGTCTCTAAGAAATCAAAGAAGAAATGCTCGTCTTTTGGCCACCATGATAAATGGAAACAGAGCGGGATGGGATTGCACAATGCTGTTTTACGCCATCCTTTACTCTGATTGTGTCGGGCCCTACCTAGCATCAACTGTCAGAAAGAATGTGGATGATCTTAGAAATTTTAGAAACGAGGAATTTGCCCACATACCACAGGGAAGTCTCCCTGAGATGGATTTTCAGAATGCCATTGGCAAAGTTCATGTTGCCTTTCACGCGCTTGGTCTCTCTACTGTAAAAATCGATGACATAAAAAATCAGAAAACTTTCCCAACCGACGAATTACATAAAATTCTGAAAGAAGTTGACGATGTTAAACAAGAACTTCAAGAAAAGGAGAACCAGCGCCAGGTTCTTGAAGATCAGCTTCAGAAAGAAGCGCCGTCATTCTGTATTCTCCCTCCTAAACCTACACACGAAATTGAAAGCCGTGAAAGGGAAGTAGGACAAATAGCCCATCAGCTAAGGGAACTAAAGAAGGCCAACGAGAACAAGTTGAGTTATCTGTACATCTCAGGGAATCCAGGAAGTGGCAAATCACAACTAGCTGGCCTCGTTGCTAAAAAAAGTCTTTGATGAAGTAAAAGAAATACCAGGCACTTCGTCCTTTGTGATGACCCTAAACGCTGCCAGTCAAGATTCACTTTTGGAGTCATATGCTAATTTTGCTCGTCAGTTAAGGTGCCCAGACTTTTCAGTGATGCAAACCTTGAGCTCTAAAGATTGGAACATTGAGGAAAAGATTGCCAATCTCAAGATGCTTATTGCTGCAAAAATTGGGAGTTACAAGTCGTGGCTAATAGTGGTGGACAATGTGACTAAACTGAATTTTCTTCATGATCACCTACCACAGTCTGGAACCGAGACGTGGGCAAGAGGTCAGTTGTTAATTACAACCCAGGATACAAAATCCATCCCATTAAAAAGCTCTTTCATCAATCACATTTCAGTAAGCCAAGGGATGAATCCTTACGATGCCACTTCCTTATTGGCCAAGCTTTCTGGGGTCTTCGACAACGACCTAGCGGAAAACGTTGCTCAGAAACTGGACTATCAGCCACTTGCTTTAGCAGGCGCGGCTGTGTTTGTCAAAGACATCCGACAGGACAAAGCATCGAAGCACTTTGGCTGGGACGAATACCTAAAGATTTTAGAAACAGGAAAACGAGAAACGACCGAGGATACCCTTGCTGATACCAACCCAGTTTATCCAAACACGATGACCACAACAATAACGCTAGCTGTTAAAACACAAGTCAAATCCGACAAGTTTTTTGAACACCTATTCAAATTTCTTTCCCTGTGCGCACCACAACCATTAAACGTTGACATAGCGGTCAGTTACCTTATAAACGTTCTCGAACACGTTGACAAAGGGGACAAGGAACAAATTCGTAGGAGATTCAGAAGATGTTCACTGCTTCTTTTAGAGGAAGAGGAAGATGGTTGCTACTACATTCGTGTACACCAAGTTGTGCACGACGCAATGAAATGGGTGATGAGTGAATATCAAGAGAATCAATCGTTCAAGGTTGTAAGTGAAGCTGTTACATCATTGAACAAATTTATAGTCACAATTCCACCCAAAAATAGAGCAATGGACACCATGCACATCATTCCGCACGTAAGTGCCCTTATTGTACCAATTGATACTGTTATTATGGCAGAAAATATGTCTCAAGTCCTTGTTCAGGACATTTCTGAAAAGTTGTCGAATCTTGGCGGCATATGTAAAATGCACTGTGAATTTAACGTGGCAAAGACATACTTCGAAAACTCTCTCGCTGTTCGCATCAGGCTGTTGGGTGACCAAAATGTCGATGTTGCATCCGGGTACAATGACTTAGCTTCAATTCACCAAGAATTAGGTGACCTTGAACAAGCAAAGGAGTATCAGCAACGTGCTTTAGCCATCCAACTCAAGAAGTTTGGTGCTAAACATGTTTCTCTTGCAACAAGCTACGGTAACCTAGCTTTAGTTTACAAAGCCTTAGGTGACCTTGAGAAGGCAGAGGAGTATCAGCAGCGTGCTTTCGCCATCGAACTCAAAAATCTTGGTGCTGAACATGTTTCTGTTGCAATAAGCTACGGTAACCTAGCTTCAATTTACCAGGACTTAGGTGACCTTGGAAAAGCAAAGGAGTATCAGCAACGTGCTTTAGCCATCAAACTCAAGAAGCTTGGTGCTGAACATGTTTCTGTTGCAACAAGCTACGGTAACCTAGCTTTAGTTTACAGGGACTTAGGTGACCTTGAACAAGCAAAGGAGTATCAGAAACGTGCTTTAGCCATCAAACTCAAGAAACTTGGTGCTGAACATGTTTCTGTTGCAACAAGCTTCGGTAACCTAGCTTTAGTTTACAGGGACCTAGGTGACCTTGAACAAGCAAAGGAGTATCGGCAACGTGCTTTGGCCATCCAACTCAAGACGCTTGGTGCTGAACATGTTTCTGTTGCAATAAGTTACAGTAATCTGGCTTTAATTCATCAGGACTTAGGTGACCTTGAGCAAGCAAAGGGATATCAGCAACGTGCTTTAGACATCGAAATCAAGAAGCTTGGTGCTGAACATGTTTCTGTTGCAACAGGCTACGGTAACCTAGCTTTAGTTTACAAAGCCTTAGGAGACCTTAAAAACGCAAAGGAGTATCAGGAACGTGCTTTAGACATCAAAATTAAGAAGCTTGGAGCTGAACATGTTTCTGTTGCAACAAGCTACGGTAACCTAGCTTTAGTTTACAACGCCTTAGGTGACCTTGAACAAGCAGAGGCGTATCAGCAACATGCTTTAGACATCGAACTCAAGAAGCTTGGTGCTGAACATGTTTCTGTTGCAACAAGCTACGGTAACCTAGCTTTAGTTTACAAAGCCTTAGGTGACCTTGAGAAGGCAGAGGAGTATCAGCAACGTGCTTTAACCATCAAACTCAAGAAACTTGGGGCTGAACATGTTTCTGTTGCAACAAGCTACGGTAACCTAGCTTCAATTCACCAGGACTTAGGTGACCTTAAAAAAGCAAAGGAGTATCAGCAACGTGCTTTAGCCATCAAACTAAAGAAGCTTGGTGCTGAACATGTTTCTGTTGCAATAAGCTACGGCAACCTAGCTTCAATTCTCCAGGACTTAGGTGACCTTGAACAAGCAAAGGAGTATCAGCAACGTGCCTCAGCCATCCAACTCAAGAAGCTTTTCTAACTGTTGGTGGTCGAACCCCAGAGGGAAAAAAAGGTTAGCTAGGTATAGGGAGTGGGAACTGGGGCCCGTTTCTCTAAAGTCCTGCTAACTTTTCGGGCCCGAAATGAAATATTCAAATCGAAATATATAAAGTATAAGAGCGCGAGTCCTGGCTAGCAAACTAGTCCATTTTGTTTCATTAACTTATGGTTTTTATGATTTTTTCATGATAGGTGCAAAACTATTGAAACTTCTATCTTTAATGTAAACGGAGACAGCTTACCGAGCAGGAAGACAGGCAACAACTTTTTGTGTGATCACATATACGACATTTCTTCCATAAAACGTGTAACTAGTAAGTTTTATATTGTAGTTGTGCAACAACAAAAGGAAAGAAATGAACAAAGAAGTGCCCTGCACTGAAGACCTTTTAATTTATTTTTGCCCTTTTCATTTTTGTCGCCGTTTACCATTACACCATGTTATTTTTTTTTTTTTTTTTTTGGGGGGGGGGGTAAATTATAAATATATTAACGAGAGTTTCGCTTTTAGCTCTAGCGAAATATGTAGAATGATTATATCCTCACATGTGGGTTTTCGGTTAGGTCATGTCCACACCAACCCGTCTTTGACTCCCGCACGTGCATTTCGGCGTGTTGGTTTTTGGCACTGAGCCATTAGAAACGTCTATCTCCCGATATATCTCTGCTCCCAGGCTTTTCTCGGACACGTTTACTTCATACTGCGCTTGCGTCAACAGCACCAGCGGTATTCTCGTTTTTTCCCCTGACAACATGTCCCGCATGATAAGCTACGACGTTACGGCTTTTGATGGCTTTAGTTTGAAAGCGGGGCCAAAATTCACAAATGTATTGGTTTCAAATGAAAAGGCATTGGTGTGGACGAGTTCTCAGTGTGGGATAGTCGAAAAAACTGCATGGAAAAGGAGCCGATTTGATGCATTTGTCAACAAAAACGAAGATTTTTCAAGGTCCTCTCATTTGTGTGGAAGCAGCCTGAGATCCAGATAAAACAGAGAGAGTTAAGTTTGTTGCTATATTCCCATTTTATTTCAGTCACTTACACTACCTGCTTAACCCTTTTTAAAAGTTCCAATAGTGACCAACATCAATTTTCTCCTAACGATATCCATACATTGTCAAGAGATTAGGTTATGAGAGTTAATATAATAATCACGTAAGAGAAAATGCTTCGATCTTTTATCACATTCTCTCAACTAATTCTTTAGAGAAATGTATAGAGATCAGTTTGGAGAATTTGTATGTGGATATTGGGGCTTAATGGGTTAAATTCAGGTATAGGTTTAACCAGTTCAGTGAAGACAACAAATCGCAAAGTAATCTCACAGCGCTAAAATTTTACGTTCCGACAGTTATACATAAATAGTTCATTACTCTAACCTTAGAGGAATCATTACTAAATGGATAGATACTAGATATATCACTTTTATGCAAAAGTATCTTGTTTCAATACAAAGTCAAAGGGATTGCAAAATCCATTTCTAATTCTACCGTTTATTTCTCAAACCATTGTTATATAAGGATGTATGTTTATTTGAATTGTATACATTATGATTTAAAAGCATTACTTTTTACCAATTAAGAGTCATGGCAGTAGGTATATCGTATATCTCAAGGCAAAGTGCAGGCTTCTTTAACTAACTCTTTCGCTCCAGAATGAACGATAGAATCCTTTGAGGCTGTTCTAACTTTTGAGTCTGTGGATAAAATCCGTTGTTGTGACCATTCAAATGAAACCTCTTCAGCAGTGCTTTCACATGGTACTATTTATTTAGTATGTAGTTCTAACTTTTGTGACCATTCAAATGAAGGCTCTTTGCTTGGCAGTGCTCTTACTTTGTACTATTTGTTTCTCCCAATTTAATAAAATGAAATTTAGAATTTCTGTCCAATTTAGACTTTGGCCTTTTCTGTGAGTGAAAGAGTTAACGAAACCACCATAGGCGATGTTGGGATAACAGAAAAAATGATAGACAAACATTAACTCAAAATTAAATAACGTGTTTGTAAATAAACAGTACGATATCACGAAATGCTTTAGAATGCTACTTTCTTTCAAGTGTAAAAGACTAGAAAAATCCCTTTTACTTAGAAAAGAATTTAAATGAACTATATGCTTGTCTTCTACTACAAAACGGTCCCAGGTCACCAGGTATGGACCTTGTCTTACACTATTAAATCAGCCCAAAGCCCATTCCTTCCAGGAAAGCTCCCGGATGAAACGGTTGGCGCCTAGCCCCACTCCGGGCTAATGAGACTGTGTTCTGAGGGAACAAACCAGTGCCGGATCTAGATCTTGAGATAAGGGGGAGGCGGGGGACGGTAATCCAGACGCTGAGATAAGGGGGGTGCCCGGTCTCCATTTTTTTGTTTTTTGTTTTGTTTTGTTTTGTTTTGTTTTGTTTTGTTTTGTTTTGTTTTGTTTTGTTTTGTTTTGTTTTGTTTTTAAGCCCTTCGCGCCTCAATTTGGTCATGGGTTCCTGGTTTGGTCTAGAAATAAAGGGGGGGGGGGGGGCAGCGCCCCTCCTTTGGATCCGCCACTGCAAACAATTAACACTACTAAGATGTAGTGAAATCATGTTCAAACTGAACCCAGCTAGTTGTCACCATTCGATGATGAGCACCTCTTAACGTGGTTCTTCTGTGAGGTAGACATCTCTCTGTGAAGGACTGAAAATAAGCCAAACACCTTTTTATATTTGACACCCCTAAGATAGTTACTTGTTCAAGATGGCCAATGTGTAACACAGACACTACTCAATGGTTGTAACTCGGGGGCTCTTGCTTGTAGTACGTAAGTCTCCTTATAGGAACACAGACAGAAGCCCGTATTGGGCAGTGCGCTCCCTAGGGTACTTACCACCAGACAGTGGCATGTAAGCCACCTTTTTTAGCGCACCGGAGAAATGTACCGTTTGAATCTGATAAAAAAAGGCGCGAATATAAAAATCGAAGGATTTGAACGCAGAGAAGGGTAAATGGCAAGCGACATTTTGTTTAGTCCATACCAACCGGAATGATTGGACTACCTCAAAACGAAGTCCTAAATCAGTTTTCGGTTGGAATTTACGAGAAAACGACCTTAGCATTAACCTTCCATCCAAACTTTTCGGAATTTTCGGCTTGGTGGCAAGTGCTTCTGGTATCCGGTATCTGCTCAATACAGGTTTGAGCCAAGATATGTATCATAAGAATGGGTTTTGGACTTACGAAATACAGCGCCATCGTTTAATACTTTCTTAACGAAAGATCTAGCAAAACATAGAAATTAGTCTCTATTTATTACTATAAAACTCTATTGTTTTTCAATTTTTGGCTCGTTTGCTTTCAAATAAGGATTTCATGGCTGTTTTAAGTTCGCTGTTGCCCGCTTTTCCTGAAACAGAATAAACAGAGAAATAATTTTACTAGGACTGAACGTTACAGTTAACCACGGTTTACGTTGTAAGCAATTTTATCATTTTTCAAATTTTGTTGAGTATAAACCCCTGATCAGTCAAAATGACAAAACCGAGAAGACTCGTTTCACTGGCCCAAATAGGAGGGCTTGCTCGTAGGCTCGTTCAATCCCTTTTCTTTTAGTTTCCGTATCATGTTATCGGTCTGTTGAGTATGGTTAACAGGCAGCTTCTTAAACAACAGCTAAACTACTGAGCCCAGGAGTCATCTCATAAGTAGGTGGAATATGATCGTTTGGGTGAGTGTAGTCCTGAATAAGAAGGACTGTTGTTCACAGTGACTACTGTGAACAATCACCCCTGGCCACAATAACCCGGACGATCATATTTCACCTACTTAAGAGATAACTTTTACTAAATATTATTAATTACGCTTTCTTGCACCCCGCCCACCCCCACCCCCCTCTCCCCGCTATTTGAATCTGAAACACATATTAACAAATTGTCACTTAATTAATTCTATGTATTATGAAAATTGCCGTAGAAAGCGTTAGACATATGTGTCCTCTCCGATCCTCCTTCTCCTTGCTGCTCGTACTTTCTCGGATTCTCCAGATCTTCCGTTACTTTGGTTCTAGTTAAACGAGGAAAAGGCGCGGGTTGAATAAGATGCAATCTTCTTGTTTCAATGGCACAAAAAAAAATCTTTGCGCCTTACTTATCACGCGCCTAAGCTAAGACGCTTCTTAGATACTCGTATAAAATGATGCAGTCCTTTTTAAGACGAGTCTTATTTCCCCTCATTGGTTTTTCACATCCGCACCATTGTCTTTAAATGAGTAAGTTCGTAGCTGGTCACGTGACCAAAATGTGACTTTTAAAATTATGAATTACCTCTTTCGGAACAGAAATTTTGCACTTAAACTTCAAGAAAAATGTTGAAAAGATGATGTGGTAACGTTAACAGCACATCTGAGCGTAACTATCAAACGTTGAACAAGATATAAGCAAAAAGTAGTTTTGGCCGCCATGTTGGAGGGCAAGAGTATGCCCTCCATCATGGCGGCCAATACAAATCATACTACTTCGTTGAAAATTCAAGTGCCATAAAATATCTCCCTTAAATGCGTTTCCTCCCAAATTTCGGGTGTAGGATAATTGTTATGTGCTCTGTCAATTTTTGGCATCAGCTAGATTCCAACTCATTGTTTAAAGAAAGCATTGGTCACGTGACCTCTTAGTGCAAGTGGCCTATTAGTCTCTATTTATACTATAAAACTCTGTTTTTCAATTTTTGGCTCCTTTGCTTTCAAATAAGGATTTCATGGCTGTAGTTCGCTGTTGCCGCTTCTCCTGAAACAGAATAAACAGAGAAATAATTTTACCGACTTAATGTTACAGTTAACCACAGTGTTGTACACAATTTAATCGTTTTCAACTTTTGTTGAGTATAAACCCCTGATCAGTCAAAATGACAAAACCGAGACGTGGTTTTGTGATTTTAGCATATAGAGTGTTTTCACTCACGTGGCCTGCATCTATGCAAATTTATTGAAACAAAAGAAAGCGTTTACATAACAAAAGAGTTCAACTCCCACAGGACTGGTTTGGGACATAAACATGGCTGCCGTTTCATTGTTTTGGGACACAAATATGGCCGCCACGACGTCATGTGAAAACACACAATTACTCATCTTAAAGAGTTTGCTTTCTGGATAACGTAATTGATTTCCGCAATACTAATCCACTGGATAGCAAGTTATTCGGTAGTGAATCTTACACGCCTTGAGCAACCAGGACCTATACACTGGCAACAACTTGGTTTACTGTCGACCCTTGCAACAACCTGAATTAAAGGAGGAAATGAGATTGGTGCGCTAGTTGGAGGAAAGATAAGCTGTTATTGGGCAAGCAAGAACGGTTCCGTATTTAAAAGCGTCTGGAGGAGTATCAGCAACGTGCTTCATCGATTAGACTCGAGAATGCAGGTGAGGTTTTAAACTGTCTAAACGTAAATCCATTGCAACGAGTTGAATAATATGTGCCGTTGTCACTGTCGGAAAGAATCGCCATGGACTTTACGAAAAATTGGCTTTGGACAAAATAAAGAGAACTTATTAAGGTGGCTCGACCTAGTATTTTTGTAGGTACACTTTCCATCTCTGAATCTCTTGTATTTAACCAAATTGCCCTTTATTGTAAAAACATTATAACACACGTATTACACATAGACTTAACTTTATTATGATATTATTTTTTGCGCGATCGGAATTAATATCATGCGACAATGGGAAATTCTCATGCAGCAGGCGAGAATTTACCGTGCCTGGTTCCCCTCTGAAATCTTTTGGAAATATGGTAATGATGTCACAGGGAGAAAACAACAGCATGCTGCATGGGTATTTGATGTTTTGCTAAACTCGACTCGGGAAATAGAAAATCCCAGAGCAAAAACTTAGCCAGATCTATGACATCGCTTCAATATTTACTCAATTTTGCGCTAACGATAGACAACTTAAAAAGTTTTCAATGGGCACGAAATTCAGGGATTTTCTAGTACACTGATCAATTGCAGCACTGAAATTTTTTAAAGAAAATATATCGACGAATTTTGGTTTAATCGCTGTTTTCGTGAAAGTAGCTTTTTAGAAGTTACAACAAGAGTTCAACATTACGTTTGACTGATTCACAGGTTTTCATGGTCTTTCCAAATCGCGCGAGTGTATTTGCGTTTGGCCGGTTGTAGAGTACCCTGCGAGGAAGATCGAAGGAGACTCTGCTCTCAGGGTAGTTGTAGAGCGCATAAAGGTCATTTGCAAAACGAATGAGTGATAAAAACTTTTTGGAAGCATCCAAAAAGTGGCAAATTTTTTTGCATTAAGTCCAGCTTTCAGCTCATGCATAATTTATACCCTTTTTGTAGAAATTCAAGGATACCTCAAATTTCCTCTTAAAGATTTTTGTGAAACTTCGCATAACAGAAGAAAGGCACCCAAAGTATACGTAGCGTAAAGCACTTCCAAGGAAAATGCCGTTAAGGGCAGAAATTCGATTTAGAGCTAAAACTATTATGACGTCATTGTCAGGTGATAGTTACTCGGATTGCGCCCCCAAAAAAAATATCGTAATAAAGTTTAGTCTATGTGCAATACATGCGTTATAATGTTGTTACCAATAAAGATCAATTCAGTTAAGTATAAGAGATTCAGAGATGGAAGATGTACCTACAAAAATACTAGGTCGAGCCACCTTAAATTACTCACGTTGTCTTCCTCCCTCCTCACATTGAAGTAGTTTTTTGTCAAAGTCTATGGTTGCATTTTTAGCTTCGAGAACGACATGAGGAGCTCGCGGCTTCGCCGCTCGCTCGCGCGTTCTCGCGACACTCGTTTCACTCGCCCAAATAGGAGGGCTTGCTCGTAGGCTAGAGGAAAATTCAATCCCTTTTCTTTTAGCTTCCGTATCATGTTATCGGTCTGTTGAGTATGGTTAACAGGCAGCTTCTTAGAGAACAGCTAAACTGTTGAGCCCAGGTTTCATCTCATAAGTAGGTGGAATACGATCGTTTGGTTGAGTGTAGTCCTGAATAAGAAGGACTGTTGTTCACAGTGACTACTGTGAACAATCACCCCTGGCCACAATCACCCGGACGATCATATTTCACCTACTTAAGCTTACTTAAGAGACAACTTTTACTAAGTATTATTAATTACGCTTTCTTGCACACCGCCCACCCCCAACCCCCTCTCCCCGCTATTTGAATCGGAAACACATGTTAACAAATTGTCACTTAATTGATTCTATGTATCACGAAAATTGCCGTAGAAAGCGTTAGACATATGTGTCCTCTTCGATCTTCCTTCTCCTTGCTTCTCTTACCCTCTCGGATTCTCCAGAGCTTTCGTTACTTTGGGTCTAGTTAAACGAGGAAAAGGCGCAGTTTGAATACTGATGCAATCTTCTTGTTTCAATGGCACAAAAAAAATCTTTGCGCCTTACTTTTCACGCGACTAAGCTAAGACGCTTCTTAGATACTCGTATAAATTAAGCAGTTCTTTTTAATACGCGTCTTATTTTCCCACGTATAAACGGCCTACGCTACAGCGACCTTTACTACGGGGGCCACAAGTCAAAAAAGCCCAAAAATGGGGCGGTGCGCATGCTCGGAATTTTTTACTATGACTGGTTTTATAACCTATCATAGATTGTTTTTCTTTTATTCAAGAAAGTATTTACAGTGCAACTACTGTCACCGGGGCCCAAGAAAGTTGGTTGTGGGTCGATCATCAGCTCGTAAAAAACAAAAACAATAACATACTCGAAGCACAAATTTTTTTAACAAATAATAGGGACTTTAAGCAGATAGCAAACGTTTTTCTAAAAAGCAAAATCTTTCACCAGACAATGTTTTGCCATTCGAAACTTTACACATAACACGCAGGAGATGATTGTCGCGCTTTGCAATAACATGAGACCTTAAGTCAAAATTATAACTAACTTTTACGTTTTTCGCCTCTGTCACACACTTTAACGGACCTCTCAGGAAACACGGGCTTTCTTCAGTGGGTTTAAAAGGTCACCTTTAGTTGATTGTGTTTGGTTGATTCAGAGCTCCTGGGCTCCTGGTGGATTTCGATGATCCATGCTGTTTATTTCGTTTCCTGGTAATTATGATTGACAAATAACTTGTCGGAATGTATTGTTATTTTCCTGTAACTTTATTGATCAACTTTGTCTAGCTGTCCCCGGTTATAGCAGTCGCACTGTAACGCCTCCGGTTTTCCAGTATTTACGACTTCCCTGCGTTTTACCAACAGCGAAAGCAAGTGAGCGAGAAACCCCATAGTCACTGTTTGGACGCCGCTTGCTTAAAATTGAAATTTGACGGGCTCTCACCAGGAGTCCATGTCCACAACTGCCATGAGGTCGCCGTCGAGCGATTTGCTTAATATCCTTTGAAGCTGGCGGTTTTTTGATGGGTTTTGTTTCGACCTCTGTTCGCGCAGTTCTAACGCTTAAGCCGTGATTTGTCCGAAGAGGACTCAAACTCCGTTTCCCTTGGCGAGAAAGCCGTGCGAAGAAGTCCGCTTATGAAAAGAGACAGACGCAAGTCAAAGAATTAAAATGCTGCTGTTTGTTCCCATTACGGCTCTCGGTTTACTTTCTTCTCCTAGGTTTGAAATATACTTTCTGTTCAACCACCGAGTTCTAAAGTGAAGTCGTTACAGGTACTCATAGCATCGTTCTGGCTTGGTCTAGAAGCATCTACTATACATGTAGGGGGATGACAGCGGGGTGCGAGAGAGGGGGCATAGGGGGTAAGAAGGGTACGTGAGGAGGGAGAGGAAATGGCGGGAGCTGAGAGTTCTACAAGGGTTGGAAGCGGGAGAAATAGGGGGAAGTTACTCAATAATGCTTAATATCTCGCCAAATTAGAAAAGAAGCCATTAAAAAATGTAAGCTGGGAATGCAAGGTTCAGGAGGCGGGGGGTTTGGACCCCCTACCTCCCCTCTCTTCCCCGTATACAAGCCACAAGCTGCATGATGTAGGCTTGGAGTTAGTTTGCAAAACCTAAAATCTCTTTTAACTGGCTCGGCCACAAAGAGAAAACAACCCCGCGATGCAGTGCAAAATCCATAAGACAAACGTAAAGTGTAACATAACATAACATTTTATTAGCATTCCCATATACAGAAATGGTATTGTATTACAATTGTAAATTTAATTTAATTAATTTAAAGCAAGGGGCACACATACACCAACCCATGGCCCGGCCAGTACCTCACGCATGCACAGAGCCATATCACTCAGGCAGTGCAGTGGCAGCCATACAAATCCATGCCCCGGCCACTATTACCGATTGAATTCAACCAAGCTAGAATCCAACCTCGTTCCCAGGTTCTCTCTCCTACTCCTACCCTCCGTAGGGACGGATAGGAGAGAACCCTGAGAACGAGGTTGGCTATAATCTTGGACAGAAGAGATTGGAAACTTAGTTATACCCCCCCCCCCCCCCCCCCCCCCAAAAAGTCAAAGATGGGAAAATAAACTACCAGTAGTCCCCATTTTTTCTCAGGGATAGCTTAGAGAGCGAGCGAAACGCGAGCGTGCGTGAAAATAATCCCACACGAGAAAGGCGAGACGTAGCGGTGATTTTCACGCGCGCTCGCGTTTCGCTCGCTCTACTATCCCTGAGGGCAAGAGAGAAATCTTGTGAGGGAAAATGGGGACTACTCGTAATCCAAAGGGAGTGGCCCTTTTTGGTTTTTGCGCGGCTTCATCCTTGATTTGGGGGAGACGGGGGTTAGCCTTCCGCAGGGCTTGCCGTCCCATTTTATTCTGTCCAAGATTGTAGTCAAGATTACTTTGACGTGGGTTGTAAGGAGAAAAATATAGTATTCCCTCGATTTATCTTCTCCCTTGATATAATCGCCCACCCCAACCCCTCTCGGTCCTCTCGCCATCTTCTCTTTCTTTTATTCCCTCTCTGTCAAGTTGAAGTTGGGTTTCTTCCAGCAAAACTGATCAGTGACGATTCAAGCTCTAACGCCGAGGTCAAGGAACCAAATTTGGAACACTTAGAAAGCCCATTTCAGTTTATTTGATGTGTTCTAATGGGATAATAGAACAAAATATTTAAAGCAAGCACGACTTCCAGTGAACAAAATTTTAAATAATCTTCTTCCTCGAATAATCGCCCTCCCTCGAATAATCGCTCCCTTTTAGTGCGACAAATAATAATCACCGCCGGCTATTATTCGAGGAAATACGGTATGTGCCGATCAGTGAGCACTGACAAAAAGTAAAAACAGGATGATAAAAATTGATCGCTTTGTCTTTAGTCTCTACTTGCGTGTGTCCATCTTAAACACTGAATCATTAACCACGATGACCTTTGCGTGGGCGGTGAGGGAAATGTATGGTAGGGGTCGATGCGCATGTTTAACGAAAAATAATAACATGCGAAACACCTGGCGAAACACTAGAAACGTCACAGCACGGTAAAGTACCGAAGCTTGCCTTCACTTTCGACGTAAGTACTCGAACTGGCGTGTCTCAGCTGAAATCTCACTGATTTCATTCCGGAAAAAATAAGCAGTCGACAGTGAGACGAACCCAAGTAAGTGTACAATTAGTAGACAAGTAATCTAGCGACGGCCATTTCAGAATCGAACTAAACGCTAAACGGTTCTGTATGTCTATTATATCACAAGCAGAAGATCGGACGGGGGGGGGGTTGATGTTTGCTTTCACAGTAGCACTAAAGGATCTATCTGATCCGTTTGGTGTCAGAACCGTCTCCGGCTAAACAGAATGGCCACAAAACATTTATTTTAATGTTAATAGCAGGGAATAATATCTTGTTCTGCGCTTTGTATTATGTGCTTGTCTCGAGATGTAGACAACGTACAACAGAGATGAAGGATCTGTTTTGCGAAGCAATGCTTAAAAATGCACTACGTTAAAATGTGTTATTTTGTGAAGCTGATACTAAGAACATGGTGGTACTCATAAAGGGGCCCTTTCTGTGTATGTAATGCGGATATTTTGGGAAAAAACACAAAAGGAATACGGTAAGAGATATGTCTACGTTTTCGCGGAAGCAAGCACATCCGGGAAGCACATGAGCCCAACACTATATGGTTTCACATGTCTCCGCTACTTTTCAACCAATGATGCTAAAACCTAGAAACAAACTGCCTTTAGGTTCAATCAGAGCACAATTCCATCCCAAATCGTTTTGTGTGAATTCTTGCCAATAAATATACTACAACAGCGCCCGATGGTGCTCAATGAATACCCCCCCAGTTCTGCCCCAGTCATATTTGTTTGTGTTGAAAGACATTGATATGCAGAGTTAGACGAATCCCATTTTTAACCAATAGACAACAAGAACTGTAAATACGCCATGAATATGGGGGGTTTGAAGTAAATATTGCGTTTTGTTGTCAGCCTCTAAGTTCTTGAATATGACATAGACATTAGGGCCATTTATAGAGTATACGAGGAAAAATAAGACGCGTCTTACATTAGACGCGTCTTAAATAAGACGCGAACTTTCCGTATAAACGGCACATTTCGTCTAAAATAAGACGCGGCTTAGCTAAGAAGCGTCTTATTAGTTAAGACATGCTCGTATAAATGGTACAGTTCGCGTCTTATTTAAGACGCGTCTTATGTAAGACGCGTCTTATTTTTCCTCGTATAAATGGCCCTATTGAGCTTGAAGATATTGTAATGTGGAAATGTTTACATTTAGGCCAGGTTCAAACGTCGAATTTCAAATGCGCCGAATTCAATGCGAGAGTCAAAAGCACGTGAAGTGCGACGTTTGAATCTATTAAATTCGACTGTTTACATGTAAATTTTAACGCGACTGAAACAGTCGAAGATTCGACTTAGATTCGTTAGCCTGAGAACGGTGGACGTTTCTCCTCGCTTATCGCCGCTGAGGGACGTTCCGCGAAACGTCCCTTAGCGGCGATGAGCGAGGAGAAACGTCTGCCGTTCGCAGGCTATAGGTTCGTCTTTTGATTCAAACGTCGCATTTCACATGTGCCGAACTGTTAGTTTTAGCGACTGGGAATACTGACAGCGAATAGAGTTGAATTCGACGTTTGAATCAAACGCCGTATTTAACTATTTTAGCGGACTGAAATAAGAAGTTCGGCACATGTGAAATCTGACAGTTGAACTGGGCCTTGAAAATGAGATTGCAACACGTCTAAGATTTAATTAAGAGTTTTGCATTTTTGTTTTTGGCGCATGAAGCGAAACGATTTCAACCTTTGTTCTTGCTTTCATTTTTTTCTTTTGCCACTCTTTCCATCCTCCACAGACGAACAAAGAGCCTTTTTAAGGAAGTCCGTAAAAGAAGATTTAACTCAGTTCTTCAAATTAAGTCAACTCTTAAACCGTGTTCAAGCTTGTATTTTGTATTTATTGCGCCACACAGAAAATTACATGATTAGAATTACAAAAAAAATACAAAAATGTAGAAGGTAATGGCGAGGAGGCCTAAAGGGAACTATAAATCTAATGTTAACTAGGCCTCCTCAATTACAATTTTTCACAGACGAACTGAAAACTAAGGCGACGGATGCAATTATTATCAACGGAAATTAGAGTAAGAATATATAAAGTAAGTTTACAAAAGATGAGTATCAAACAGTTTTTTAACACGAATTTCGGCATAATTGCTGCGCAGCGACCGAAGGGAGCGAGCAGCAACATAATCAGGATTTAAAGGAAATATATAAAGGGGCGACGAATTCTCGAATTCATCACTTTTTACCACAATGTATTGCATTTAACCACACTTTTTACCACAATGCATTCCATTTAACCAGAATGCATCGCGCCACAAACAACTCAAATAAAAACACGGGGAAGTTCGGTGGGAGTGCGTCGTTCGCGGCTCAGACTTAGAGTTTTCTTTGTGGCAAATTTTCTACAGCACGGTTAGAGGTCTTACCAAATTTTAAGACATGCAGGAGTCTTTCAGATGAGTAATATGGTTAACTTGGGGATTGGATTTCAATTCAAGAGCCTTTGACTCGTCCAGGTGTTAACCCTGACGAGAAGATAAGCATTTGCTCTTCGAGTACGCAACACGGGGGATATACAAATTCCAGCTTGCTAGAAGGTGATGTGAAAGTGAGAAAATGTCATGCAGTGCTATTCTTAAGAAACTGTATGAGCCAAAAATGGATGTGATTTTGACCATTCGCTTCAAAATAACAATCGAGAATAACAAAACATATGTTTTGTGTCCTACTTTGCAGACGAGGACGTGTATCGGCGTTTTGAAAAGCATAATTATGTTCTTTCATTCATTCATTGCCATAGAATATGCGTTTACATTGTTTTTTCACTGTTAATAGCTCGGTTAATGCGGCTGGCGATTATCTTGCCGGCGGAAGTTTCATGGAAAAGGAATAAAATCAAGACTTTTCCTGCAAATACGTAATCAGCCACTGTGGTCTAGTGCTTAGGTGTAGTGGCGTCGAGCCGAAGGTGCAGGGTTCGAGTCCTACCGAATTCTTTATTCCTTTTTTCTTTTTTTTTTCCGTTTTTTGTGTTGTTGTTTTCTATAAATATATAGCTAAATAACTGTTACTTAATAAAGTGCAACAAACAGCACGAAAAGTATTGTGTTTCCAGAGAAAATATCGTGCGCCGTATATTAAATATATGGATAAACAATCTGAATTTCTATTATTTCCTACAATTTACTGTGGGAAAACCAGAGTTATAACCACTTGATCATTTTCTAAACAACTTTCCCACGAGTTCTTTCTATAGACTGATAGTAATTATTCTAGTACTTTCCAACATGTAAATAGGACATTCAATATCATTTTCGATTCTTTTAAGTCTCACTGCCTAACTAATGCCAGTATCAACAGAATGTGCCGCAGCATTACTATCTTTTAGATACCCTAGTTTTAATTACGTTGAAGTAATTCACATCAGCGCCTAAATCATATAGTCCACTCCCTTATTATATGTCTCTTAAAAAGGATATTTGATTCTATTCTAAAAATGCAAAAACGGGGACAAGTTTAAAAATGAAGCATTTTACGTCAGTTTTTTTCGCCTTTCACATTTTAAGAAAAAATGTTTCCTTTTTAGCCGTAGATTAAAACGTCTCGTATACTCAACCAAGGAAAAACTGCTATGCTTAGTGACTGAGGCTTTACAACTGATTGACATCGATCAAGTAAACAACAATTTAGAACAACAGAAGTTATTTCGTTTAAATCATGTTAAGAGCTCCTGCCTTTCTTTTCCCTTACAACGTTCATCAAGTTGTTTCTTTCCAAAGGTTCCAGGCCTCAGCAGTACATCAAACATTGCGTCAAACATGGCCCTTTCAAAAGAATACACCAAAGAACAACTGAACTACTTCAGAATTTGTTATGTAACCACTGATATACTAGCCGAAGGCCTCAGAGAGGTTTTTAAACGTGAATGGGACAATCAATACAAATCAACACCATTGGGAGAATGGAAAGATGTGGCCCAGAATGGAACGGACTTTTACAATGGCGAGTCTGCAAGAAATCAAAAAAGAAATGCTCGTCTTTTCACCACCATGATAAAAGGAAACAGAGCGGGATGGGATTGTACAATGCTGTTTTACGCCATCCTTTACTCTGATTGTGTCGGGCCCTACCTAGCATCAACTGTCAGAAACAATGTGGATGATCTTAGAAAATTTAGAAACGAGGAATTCGCACACATACCACAGGGAAGTCTCCCTGAGATTGATTTTCAGAATGCCATTGGAAAGGTTCATGTTGCGTTTCATGCGCTTGGTCTCTCTACTGTAAAAATTGATGAGATAAAAAATCAGAAAACTTTCCCAACCGAAGAGTTACAAAAAATTCTGAAAGAGGTTGACGATGTTAAACAGGAACTTCAAGAAAAAGATAACCAGCGCCAGGTTCTAGAAGACCAGCTTCAGAAAGAAGCGCCTTCATTCTGTATACTCCCTCCTAAACCTACACACGAAATTGAAAGCCGTGAAAGAGAAGTGGTACAAATAGCCCACCAGCTAAGGAAACTAAAGAAGGCCAATGACAACAGGTTGAGTTCTCTGTACATCTCAGGGAATCCCGGAAGTGGCAAATCACAACTAGCTGGCCTCGTAGCTCAAAAATTCTTTGATGAAGTGAAAGAAATACCAGGCACTTCCTCGTTTGTAATGACCATAAACGCTGCCAATCAAGAGTCACTTTTGGAGTCATATGCTTATTTTGCTCGTCAGCTAAAGTGCCCAGACTATTCAGTAATGCAAACTTTGAACTCTAAGGATTGGAAAATTGAGGACAAGATTGCCAATCTCAAGATGCTTATTGCAGCAAAAATTGGGTGTTACACGTCGTGGCTAATGGTGGTGGACAATGTGACTAAACTGACTTTTGTACATGACCACCTACCACCGTCTGGAACCGAGACGTGGGCAAGAGGTCAGTTGTTAATTACAACCCAAGATACAAAGTCCATCCCATTAAAAAGCTCTTTCATCAATCACATTTCAGTAAGCCAAGGAATGAATCCACACAATGCCTCTTCCTTACTGGGTAAGCTTTCTGGAATCAACGACAGCATGCTAGGGAGAAAAGTGGCTCAAACACTGGACTATCAGCCTCTTGCCTTAGCAAGCGCTGCCGTGTTTGTCAAAGACATTCGACAGGACAAAGCATCGAAGCACTTTGGTTGGGAAGAATATCTAAAGATTTTAGAAAAAGGCAAACGAGAAACGACCGAGGATACCCTTGCTGATACCAACCCAGTTTATCCAAATTCAATGACTACAGCAATAACGGTAGCTGTTGAAACACAAGTCAAATCCGACAAGTTTTTTGAACACCTATTCAAATTTCTTTCCTTGTGCGCACCACAACCATTAAACGTTGACATAGCGGTCAGTTACCTTGTAAACGTTCTCGAACACGTTGACAAAGAGAACAAGGAGCAAATTTGCAGGGGATTCAGAAGATGTTCACTGCTTCTCTTAGAGGAAGAAGAAGATGGCTGCGACTACATTCGTGTACATCAGGTTGTGCACGACGCAATGAAATGTGTGATGAGGGACTATCATGAGAATCAATCGTTGAAGGTTGTAAGTGAAGCTGTTACGTCATTTAACAAATTTGTAGTCACAATTCCACCCGAAAATAGAACAATGGACACCGTGCACATCATTCCGCACATACGTGCCCTTATTGTACCAATTGATACAGACATTATGGCAGAAAATATGTCTCAAGTCCATGTTCAGGAAATTTCTGAAAAATTATCGAGTCTTGGCCACATATGTAAAATGCACTGTGAATTTAACGTGGCAAAGAAATACATTGAAAACTCTCTTACTCTTCTCATCAAGCTGTCGGGTGACCAAAATGTCGATGTCGCAACAGGGTACAATGACTTAGCTCTAATTTACTTCGACCTAGCAGAATTTCAAGAAGCAAAGAAGTATCAGCAACGTGCTTTAGACATCCTCCTCAAGAAGCTTGGTGCTGAACATGTTTCTGTTGCAGCAAGCTACGGTAACCTAGCTTCAATTCACCAGCACTTAGGTGACTTTGAACAAGCAAAGGAGTATCAGCAACGTTGTTTAGCCATCCAACTCAAGAAGCGTGGTGCTGAACATGTTTCTGTTGCAACAAGCTACGGTAACCTAGCTTTAATTCACAGCGACTTAGGTGACCCAGAACAAGCAAAGGAGTATAACCAACGTGCTTTAGCCATCGAACTCAAGCAGCTTGGTGCTGAACATCTTTCCGTTGCAAGAAGCTACTCTAACCTAGCTTCAACTCACTTTGAATTAGGTGACCTTGAACAAGCAAAGGAGTATAAGCAACGTGCTTTAGCCATCTTTCTCAAGAAGCTTGGTGCTGAACATGTTTCTGTCGCAAGAGTCTACGGTGACCTAGGTGTAGTTTACACGGACTTAGGTGACCTTGAACAAGCAAAGGACTATCAGCAACGTGCTTTAGCCATCAAACTCAAGAAGCTTGGTGCTGAGCATGTTTCTGTTGCAACAAGCTACGGTAACCTAGCTTTAATTCACAAGGACTTAGGAGACCTTGAACAAGCAAAGGAGTATCAGCAACGTGCTTTACCCATCCAACTCAAGAAGCTTGGTGCTGAACATGTTTCTGTTGCAACAAGCTACCGTAACCTAGCTTCAATTCACAAGGACTTAGGTGACTTTGAACAAGCAAAGGAGTATCAGCAACGTGCTTTAGCCATCGAACTCAAGAGCCTTGATGCTGAACATGTTTCTGTTGCAACAAGCTACGTTAACCTAGCTACAATTCACCATGACTTAGGTGACCTTGAACAAGCAAAGGAGTATCAGCAACGTGGTTTAGCCATCCAACTCAAGAAGCTTGGTGCTGAACATCCTTCTGTTGCAAAAAGCTACGGTAACCTAGGTTCAGTTTACCAGGCCTTTGGTGACTTTGAACAAGCAAAGGAGTATCAACAACGTGCTTTAACAATCGAACTCAAGAAGCTTGGTCCTGAACATGTTTCCGTTGCAACAAGCTACGGTAAACTATCTTCAGTTCACAGGGACTTAGGTGACCTGGAACAAGCAAAGGAGTATCAGCAACGTGCTTTAGCCATCAAACTCAAGAAACGTGGTGCTGAACATGTTTCCGTTGCAACAAACTACAGTAACCTATCTTTAATTTACCAGGACTTAGGTGACCTTGAACAAGCAAAGGAGTATCAGCGACGTGCTTTAGCCATCGAACTCAAGAAGCTTGGTGCTGAACATGTTTCTGTTGCAAAAAGCTTCGGTAAACTAGCTTTAGTTTACCAGGCCTTAGGTGACCTAGAACAAGCAAAGGAGTATCAGCAACGTGGTTTAGCCATCGAACTCAAGAAGCTTGGTGCTGAACATGTTTCTGTTGCAACAAGCTACGGTAACCTAGCTTCAATTCACAAGGACTTAGGTGACCTTGAGCAAGCAAAGGAGTATCAGCAACGTGCTTTAGCCATCGAACTCAAGCAGCTTGGTGCTGAGCATGTCTCTGTTGGAACAAGCTACGGTAGCCTAGCCTCAATTCACATTGACTTAGGTGACCCTGAACAAGCAAAGGAGTATCAGCAACGTGGTTTAGCCATCCAACTCAAGAAGCTTGATGCTGAAGATGTTTCTGTTGCAGCAAGCTACGTTAACCTAGCAACAATTCACCATGACCTAGGTGACCTTGAACAAGCAAAGGAGTATCAGGAACGCGCTTTAGCCATCCAACTCACGAAGCTTGGTGCTGAACATGTTTCTGTTGCGAAAAGCTACGGTAACCTGGCTTCAGTTTACCAGGCCTTTGGTGACCTAGAACATGCAAAGGAGTATCAGCAACGTGCTTTAGCCATCCAACACAAAAAGCTTGGTGCTGAACATGTTTCTGTTGCAACAAGCTATGGTAACCTATCTTCAATTCACCACGACTTAGGTGACCTTGAACAAGCAAAGGAGTATCAGCAACGTGCTTTAGCCATCCAACTCGAGAAGCTTGGTGCTGAAAATGTTTCTGTTGCAACAAGCTACGGTAACTTAGCTTCAATTCACAAGGACTTAGGTGACCTAGAACAAGCAAAGAAGTATCAGCAACGTGCCTTAGCTATCCAACACAAGAAGCTTGGTGCTGAACATGTTTCTGTTGCAATAAGCTACGGTAACTTAGCTTCAATTCACAAGGACTTAGGTGACCTAGAACAAGCAAAGGAGTATCAGCAACGTGCTTTAGCCATCCAGCACAAGAAGCTTGGTGCTGAACATGTTTCTGTTGCAACAAGCTACTGTAACTTAGCTTTAGTTTACAAGGACTTAGGTGACCTAGAACATGCAAAGGAGTATCAGGAACGTGCTTTAGCTATCCAACACAAGAAGCTTGGTGCTGAACATGTTTCTGTTGCAATAAGCTACGGTAACCTATCTTCAATTCACCACGACTTAGGTAACCCTGAACAAGCAAAGGAGTATCAGCTACGCGCTTTAGCCATCCAAATGAAGAAGCTTTTGTAATTGTTGGTGGTCGAACCCTGGAGTGAAAAAAGGTTAGCTAGGTGTAGGGTGTGGGAACTGGCGCCCGTTACTCGAATGTCCCGGTAACTTTTCTTGCCCGAAATCAAATATTCAATTCGAAATATAAGGAATAAGAGCGCCGGTCCTGGATAGAAAAGTACTCCTTTTTGTTTTATTAACTGGTAGTTTTATCATGATAGATGGAAAACTATTGAAACCTCGATCTTTAATGTACACGGAGACAGCTTACCGAACAGAAAGACGGGCAACAACTTTTTGTGTGATCACAGTTACGACATTTCTTCCATAAAACGTGCAACTAGGAAGTTTCATATTGTAGTTGTGCAACAACAAAGGAAAAGAAAAGTACAAAAAGTGTGCTGCACAATTAGACCTTATGTTTTTTTTTCCGTTTTCGTTGTCGTCGCCGTTTAGCATTACACGATTTTATTTTTGTTGGAGTAAATTATAAGTATATTAACGAGAGTTTCGCTTCTAGCTCAGGCTTAATCTCAGGCTATGTCCACACCAACCCGTCTTTGACTGCCGCACGTGCATTTCAGCGTAATTGTTTACATGTGTACTTCATACTGCGCTTGCGTCAACAGCACCATTGGTATTCTCGTTTTTTCCCCCGACAACATGTCTCGCATGATAAGCTACGACGTTAGGGCTTTTGATGGCTTTGGTTTGAAAGCACGGTCAAAGTGCACAAATGCATTTATTTCAAATGAACAGGCATTGGTGTGGACGAGTTCTCAGTGCAGGATAGTCGAAAAGGCTGCATGGAAAAGAAGCAGTTTTGATGCTTTTGTCAACAAAACGGAGAGTTTTCAAGGTCCACTCATTTGTGTGGAGGCAGCCTGAGATCCAGATAAAACAGAGAGAGTTAAGTTTGTTGCTATATTCCCATTTTATTTCAGTCACTTACACTACCGGCTTAACCTTTTTTAAAAGTCCCAATAGTTACCAACATCAATATCTATACATTGTCAAGAGATTAGGTTATGAGAATTAACATAATAATCACCTAAGAGAAAATACTTCGATCTTTTATCAAATTCTCTCAACTAATTCTTTAAGGAAATGTTTGGAGATCAGTTTGGAGAATTTGTATGTGGATATTGGAGCTGAAAGGGTTAAATTTAGTCATAGGTTTAACCAATTCAGTGAAGATAACAAATCGCAAAGTAATCTCACAGCGCTAAAAATTCACGTTCCGACAGTTATACAAAAATAGTTCAGTAATAATTCTTTCCTTAGAGGAATCATTACTAAATGGATAGATACTAGATATATCACTTTTATGCAAAAGCATCTTGTTCCAATACAAAGTCAAAGGGATTGCAAAATCCATTTCTAATTCTATGGTTTATTTTTCAAACTGTTTTCATATGAGAATGTATTTTTATTTGAATTGTATACATTATGACTAAAAGAATTACTTTTTACCAATTAAGAGTCATGGCAGTAGGTATATCATAAATCTTAAGGCAACGTGCAGGCTTCTTTAACTAACTCTTTCACTCCAGAAGGAACGAAGGAATCCTGTGAGGTTGTTCTAACTTTTGAGTCTGTGGACCAAATCCGTTGATGTGACCATTCAAATGAAACCTCTTCAGCAGTACTTTCACGTGGTACTATTTATTTAGTATGTAGTTCTCACTTTTGAGTCTGTGGATGAAATCCGTTGGTGTAACCATTCAAATGAAACCTCTTCAGCAGTACTTTCACATGGTACTGTTTATTTAGTATGTAGTTCTAACTTTTGAATCTGTGGACGAAATCCGATGGTGTTACCATTCAAATGAAACCTCTTCAGCAGTACTTTCACATGGTACTGTTTATTTTAGTATGTATTTCTAACTTTTGAGACTGTGGACCAAATCCGTTGGTGTGACCATTCAGATGAAACCTCTTTACTAGTGCTCTTACGTTGTACTATTTGTTTCTCCGAATACTATAAAATGAAATTTGGAGTTTCTGTCCAGTTTGGACTTTGGCCTTTTCTGTGAGTGAAAGAGTTAACGCAACCACTAAGGCGGTGGTTTAGGATGACAGAAAACGGTTAACCTGTTAGAAAGAAACATTAATTCAAAATTAAATAACACGTTTGTAAATAAACAGTACGATCTCACGCAATGCTTTGGAATGCTACTTTCTTGCACGAAAAAAAGACTATAAAAATCCCTTTTACATGGAGAAAAATGTTAATAAACGATATGCTTGTCTACTAAACGGTCGCGGGTCACCAGGTATGGACCACTATTAAATCATGATCAGCCCAAAGCCCATTTCTCCCAGGAAAGTTCCCGGATGAGATGGTTGGCCTCTAGCCCCAGACTACTGAGACTGTGTTCTAAGGGAACAAACCAGTGCGGGGTCCAGACCTTGAGATAAGGGGGGCCCGGTCATCCAGACCCTGAGATGGGGGGGCGGTCTTCCTTGAGGCCCCAGTTTGGTCTAAAAATAAGGGGGGGCGGGCCCCTACCCTGGATCCGCCACTTGTCAGCTACTTGTAACCTTTCGAATATGAACACCTCTTAAAATGCTTCTTCTGTGAGGTAGCCATCTCTCTATGAAGGACTGAAAATAAGCCAAACACCTTTTTATGTTTGACACCCCTAAGTTAGTTACTTGTTTAAGATGGCCAAAGAGTAACACAGACACTACTCAGGGGTTGTGACTCGGGGGCTCTTGCTTGTAGTACGTAAGTCCTCTTATAGGAACACAGACAGAAGCCCGTATTGAGGCAGTGCGCTTCCTAGGGTACCTATCACGTGACAGTGGCATGTAAGCCACCTTTTTTAGCGCACCGGAGAAATGTACCGTTTGAATCTTATAAAAAAAGGCGCGAATATAAAAAGCGCAAGATTTAAACGCAGAGAAGGGTAAATGGCAAGCGACATTTTGTTTAGTCCATACCAACCGGAATGATTAGACTACCTCAAAACGAAGTCTGAACGAAAAATGTTTGGTTGGAATTTCCTAGAAAATAACCTTAACATTAACCTTCCATCCAAACTTTTCGGAATTTTCGGCTTGGTGGCAAGTGCTTCTGGTATCCTGTTTCTGCTCAATACAGGTTTGAGCCAAAATATGTATATCATAAGAAAGGGTTTTGGACTTACTAAATACAGCGCGACTGTTTAATACTTTCAAATAAGGATTTCATGGCTGTAGTTCGCTGTTGCCGAATACAAAAACATAAGAAATAACTTTACCGACTGAACGCGACAGTTAACCACGGTTTACGTTGTACACAATTTTATCATTTTTCAAATTTATTTGTTGAGTATAAGCCCCTGATCAGTAAAAGTGAAAATCGAGACGTGGTTTTCGTGATTTTAGCATTTTTCTCATCTTAAACATGCATTTAAACTTGCTTAAAAGCGGCATCCTCGTCTAAGATGTTTGCTTGCTGGATAAAGCAATTGATTTCCACAATACTAGTCCATTGGATAGCAAATCGCTCGGTGGAGAATGTTACACGCCTTAGGACCTATACACTAGCAACAACGTGGTTTACCCTCGCAACAACCTGAAGGAGGAAATGCGCTAGTTTCGCTAGTTCACGGAAAGAAACTCAGTATTATAGGACAAGCAAGAACGGTTCCGTATCTAAAAGCGTCTTTTTGCAAATTAAAGTAAACCGTTTTGAACTCCTATTACCCTCACTATCGATTATAGAGGCTTGCAATAGTGTTCAAATTTTCGATTTCGTGAGTGAAAATAATCCAATAGCGACTTTTTCATCAGTCGGTCTTTGTCTGATACTGAGGCCGGTATAACGTGTCACGGAAACTAACCCTCTCTCCTCCTTCTTTTCTCTTCCTTTCCATTTCTTGTTCCATCTTCCAGCTACCAAAGATATGGCAAAACAAGGAAAGTTAGTTTGCAAGCTAAGCGAAATATACGGCATGAAAACAACAAACTGGGTTGAGGGAAACTCAAGCACCAAAATATGAGATAGACAGTAAGGCCGTACAAGGAAAAACAAGACGTGTCCTAAATAAGACGAAAACTGTACCGTTTAACCGGCACATTTCGTCTGAAAAAGACGCTTCTTATCTAGGAACAGCCCTTAGATAAGACGCGTCTTATTTATTGAAAGTCGCGTCTTATTTCAAACGAAATCATGTGCCGTTTGTACGGTCAAGTTTGCGTCTTATTTAGAACGCGTCTTATGTAGGACGCGCCTTTTTTTTCTCCTATAAATAGTCCTAATATATAATATCTTTGGACTACATTCAAAGAGTTTTCTCGGAAGATGAATTCTCTACTGTCAACAGTTATTGGTTTTTCCTCATTCGAGTCTGGTTTCATATCTCCCGCTTCATACCAGGTTTTCCTATACGCATAGTATAAGCCGTAAGACGAGTAACACGACTTCTGGTGCTTAGAAGCAAAAGACAATACCTCACGGAGACTACCGAGTTGCACAAGTTGCACGTGTTCTTACGTTTGGTACCTAACGCACGTTCCCGCCTTTGTCACTCATTGCAAGTTTCCCGCCATTCGCACACGTTGCATGTTTTACAACGCCTGGTACTGTGGTATGTTTTCGTGCGCGCAGCATTTCTAGCATCTTTTCGCGTCCTTTGCACCAGTTACTTGTTTTCCCGCGAACACGCCCCCTTTGTCCACCTTTACATTACATTAAATATTCTTATTGGGTAGAACTACAGACTACTTACTTGGATAACACTTTTTCTTTTATTGTTACCCCTATAACACACAAATGAGAAGACAAAAAAAGTGCTTTAGGGAAACATCTACCTCACGCAAGCAGGGAAGAGGCCGGGGGGTCTTACTGCCATATATGGGCTATATAGGTATGTGCCGTTGTGAAGGGTATGGTTTTCCATGCAGTTTACTCTAGGATAGGTATATAAATCAGAGAGTTTGGGTCTAGAATTGGGTATCATTTTTCAGGAAACTGATCAGTTGGTTGAAGATTTTATCTAGACTAGCAATTGTAGTATAAGGTTTTGTTTTGGCTAAACTACTGTGCTAGTGACCTCAGTAGTTTCTGGAAAACAGCTACTCTAGGATAGGGGGGATTTGGGAAGTTTACTCTAGTATACGGTAGCAAAATTCAGCTGAACTAGCTCTGGTATAGGTTATGGGTTCCAGGGTCCCAGCGGCACATCTCCACCCAGAAATTCCTAAAGTAACCCCCCCACACTCCCTCCGGGGGAAGAGGGCTGTGCCGCGCATTCATAAGGAAAACAAAAATCTGCCATAGAAGCCAAAATTCAAGATATAGTGAAAACAAATAATGGGAAACTGATACCAGGGGCCCGTTTCTCGAAAGTCCCGGTAACTTTACGGGCCCGAAATCAAAAATTCAAATCGAAATATAAAGAATAAGAGCGCGGGTCCTGGCTAGCAAGCTACTCCATTTAGTTTCATTAACTGACAGTTTTATCATGTTAGATGCAAAACTATTGAAACCTCGATCTTTAATGTAAACGGAGACAGCTTACCGGGCCCGTTAATTATCGGGACTTTCGAGAAACGAGCCCCAGAGCACATGGTTCGGCCAGGAATCGAACTCACGCCTATGCTCTACAGTAAAGTATCCTATAAGCTAAGCTAATCCGTTGCAAAATTACAGCAAACAATGAAGTATGGAGTTAATTAGAAAATTGTAAAATCGACGCTGTTTAAAAGAAGCTAAAAGAGTCTTAACCGACGTATCAGCATGCTGCCTTCTTCAGGTAGATTCTCTGTCTACCAGGATGCAACGCGGGCGTGTATTAAGGTTCCGTGTGACACGTCCATTTTTCTCCTTGGGTGATGGCTCTGCGAAATCGCTAGAAGTCAGAGCCATCCAAGAAATATTGTTGACATTTACGTACACTTCGCGTTTGTTAACTGAGAATGAGAACTGAGAATGGCGACCTCCAAAAAAGTTGGAGGCAAAGTAATTAAGTTATTTATTTGAGAGAGTCCGTGCGGGAACAAATGGAGAAGCCAAAACCTTCGCCAAGGATACGACAAGCTTCCGGACAGCGAGTTCGCTGAAGTCTTGTTACAGTAAGTGGTTTCAGCTAACGTTCACTAATTTGTTTTTTGTAATTTTGTGCAAGTTTGTTTTTGTATTAACTTAAGCTCATTTACAGAGTTCTTATCTTCTGTGCTTTGTCTTGTGTCTTTAGTTCATGTCTAGATTATAAAAATACAAGGAAATCTTGGAAAAGAAAGGCCAGCGATGATGACATTTTTCCTAACCTCGACTTTCATTCAGGTGTGAAATACAGTTAGTTAGTGTATTATCTCTTGATCTTCAGTGCACAACAGTGATACTCAGCCCTGAAGGAAAGTAACCTGTCGCTTATCAGCCGCGGTGGTCCTTTTTTCTTGAGAGTCACGCACGGCGAGCGAAATGGTAGTCTGCTACACAGCCGTTTTTAGTGTCGTCACGCAACGCTCCTCCCCACTAAGGGCTGCGGAAAATCGAACCACATTCCTTTCCCTTAGTTTTTGTGTTCTAACGAACAAACCAATCATGTATAACAAACTTGACAATACGTGGGCTGCAAGGCGCTAGAAGCGAACACGCTTCTCAGTTTTCGACAAATCAATCAATCGTCGCTGAATTTTGATGGGGTCTGTATCTGCAAGCAATGAAAAGGTTGTTTCCAGAAAAGTTTGTTTTAAGCGGTTAACAAAATTCCAAGTGAAAAAAAAAGTTTGATAGGCTTACAAGACTCTTACCAGGATCAGTTGGTTCTTTTTAACGTGCATGTATGATGAATTTCATGTGCCGGATGTGCTCATTGTGTTGTTGAAGACTAAACTCTCAGGGGTACAGATTCAAACAAAAGCAATCTTATCTTATAAATTATCGATAAGCGATTTCCCAGAACTATACCCGGCAATTTTATAAGCACATCCATGTTGTGCATCATATTTGCTTGACTTGCTTGCTGTTGCTGCTTATCTCAAAAATTTTGAAAGGACTCAACTATGACAACACTACTCTAGTTGATTGCTTGTTTTCACACGACAATTTTGATTGTTCTGTCATTCACACATGGGGCAATGATAAAAGCAAAGCTGTGATTGGAGCAGTCACCATACTGCAAACGTGGCACAAACTCCTTCCAGAAAATGGGAGCTGAATTCTAATTGGCTAATCGCGGGAAAGGAATGTGGTTCAGTTTTCAGCAGCCGTTAGTGGGGAGAAGCATTGCGTGACAACACTAAAAACGGCTGTGTAGCAGACTAGAGGGGAGGAGCATTGCGTGACGACACTAAAAACAGCCGTGTAGCAGACTAGCAAAATGGTGATCATTATGCAAATCAACACTCGCTCAAACTCTCGCTCTCTCTACTATCAAACGAAATATAAGAGACTGTTTGCGGTTTATTACTGTAGCAGCTTATAGTTTTTCTTCAGAAGACGTAAATGTATCAGATTTAATCGTAGGCCATCCTCTTTTTTCGCCGTTTAGTGTCGTCCAAATTTTTGGCATTTTCAAAAAAATTTACAAAAAACCGACGTAGTTAAACCATTTTTCACTTGAAATAATTCTTTTAATCTGAAAAATGAGCATAGTAACAGCAAAGAGAAAAAACAGGTACATTTTTTACAGTATATTGTGCATTTTGTTAATCCAAATATGTGAATTGTTAGCTTGTAACGTCATCCTGGGATACCAGGGCCTCCTATTCTGCGACTTCTTGTTATTTTTTTTAGCTTTTTTTTTTTTCAATCCGACCGACTGACCCAATATAAGGAAACGCCATTTGACCCGAAACGAAAAAAAAGGGGATGGCCTTATTGTATATGAAGGGAATGTTTTTTGGTGTCCTGCAGGCCATGGTCAGTTTGTTTTTCCATAGCAGTTGATACACGGTAAACTTATGTTTTATATTTTCCTTTAGGTATTACTGCACCGTTTTGCTCAACCCCAGCTAAGAGAGGAAGGAAAGAGTGCCTGAACAACCGTATTTACTGATCTTTGGAGGTGTCTTTTGACAGGTACTGTTTGTATAAAATTATATGTTTTGAATCTAAAAATACTTGTTCACAACTAAATCAGTATTATATAGTGACTCCAAGCGTTACTGCACCTGGAAAAAAATTGAGCATAGTATTTGCATTTCAATCTAGTAGTTTAATCCAGGTATTTTGGGTGGGGGGGGGGGAGGGGGAAGGGAACAGTGTCAATTAATTGTCTTCACTTGTATGTTCATGTGTATGTTACTCCAGGTGAAGTCAGTTGATAGAAATCAGTAACAATCAATAAATCAGTCCTCATTGATATTATTAGTCCAACTCACAAATGTTTCTCTTCATCAATTTTTTTTATTGCTATCGGAAATCAATATCAATATTTGATTGTTATCAAATTGCAATTTTAAATATCCTCATTACTGATATTAATTATTATTTTATTGATTGACTACATCTAGTGTTAAATTTTCTGTATTTCAATTATTTCTCTCAGCTGTGTTGATATAACTGGCATCAATGTCACTGAGGAGGCAGAATTAAAACAAATATTTGATCCTTTCTCTCAAACGAGACTAGGAAATGAGAGCAACCCGTTTGTTGTTGATGCCAGGGTTGCTCATGTCCCAGTACATGATGACATTGAAGATAATCAAGAATTTAATGGCATGTGAGTCTTACATTAATTTATTCAAGAAGCATTTCAGGCGATTCAGGCTATAATATTTTAGTAAAATCCAACTAGTGGTCTATTACCAATGCTGCATTCTGATTGGTTGAGCTACTACTAGGCTATATGTTATAGCCTACTAGTAGTGAAAAGCGCCAGTTTTGAAAACCAAAACAATGGCGGCTGAATCGTGTTTTGCTAGCGAAAGTTGTTTTGTCTCGATATTTTTTACCAACTAGTTGGGTTTTACTAAAACAATTATCCTCTCACCCTCATGGCCTCTGAGTCAATAGTCCATTCGGCCTTCAGCCTCATGGGCTATTGACTCAGAGCCCATTCAGGCTTGAGTAATAATATTATTGTTAAATAAACTGTTTTGAACGTCTTTTTATGGTTAGTTAAGGATCAGTTAAAACCAACTTTTAAGCCCAGTAGAATGTCTTCATCTACCTCAACTATGATTTGCTGCACTTGTCGCTAACCAGGACAACTAAGTACCAGGGCTCCTTCTTGTTCAGCGGGGCCAAGATCTGGAACATGCTTCCCCTGAGGAACAAGCATAATATTAATAGTTAAGTCTGACCTAAACATTCACTTCAGATCCTTTCCAAATCGAGTGTCTCATACCTTTGATATACTATTGTGCTATTTTTATTTCTATTGTGTTGCAAGTTGTTTTTCTTTTCTATCAGAGCCCCATTTACACAAGTTTTGCTGAATTGGGCATTTCCGTAAAAATATTGGTAATAAATGAACATTATAAATCTCCTAGAGGTTAGAATTATATGTACCACTTGTGCACTGTGTTTTTCCTTAGATGTGCATGTTGTGTGTTTATTGTGAAATCCATTTCACTAGGGTATTTATTGTTCATTTCAGGTTGTCAAAGGTCCTACTAGAGGACTGCAGGATGACAGTGATGTTGCTGAGAGTGATGCATGTAGTGAAGTAGGCAGTGAAGAAGATGATGGAGTAGAGGAGAGGCTAGAGCTAATATTTGATCCTTTGTCTTGCCAAGAGACTTCTGAAAATGAGTGAGAATTTTTCTGTATGTTTCTTTATTGTTTTCAGTTATCTTGTAATATATTGTTGAAAAGATGTGCTTTGTAGTTCTGATATCATGTGACTTGTGAAATTTTTCCACTCAGGAAAAAAAAACTTTCCTATGAGAAGATTTTGTACAGTTAATAATAATCAGCTCATACATGACATAGTATTCTCTTGTTTAGCTAGGTACCCTCCCATTTTGCATTTTATTCCATGAACTTGAAGTAGACATGCAGTCAGGTGAACTACGTAAGCATCTTTTCCCTCACAACTTACAGTGTATGCACTGTTTCTTGTGAATTACGTGGCTCAAAAATCAGCAGCCGGGCCTGCGTCACTCCATTTCCATGGTCACTTTTTTCTCCACTCCCTTGCTCACAAGAAAAAAATCCTGATCACAGGTTACCAGCTGCCAGCACTTATTGAGAACCCTGTGTAAGCATATACTGTACAGGGTTACTTTATGGGTTACTGTATTTGAAAAATAAACAGGTAGATATTTCTACAACACTTTGTTTTTCAGAAACTATTTCATGGTTGACTTCAGTGACTATCCTGATCATGATGAAGCTACTGCTGTGCCAAACAGCAAGGATGCCGCTCTTACCATTCTTGTCTCAGAGGCTGATAGGACTACCTATCATGTGGAGACCATTGCCGAGTTTCAACATACCTTGCAGAGTGAACTGGAAGAGGTTTACAAAAAAAAACGGGAGAGAGATAAAAGAGAATTGGACTTGTCTAAAAAACCAAAAGTGTTGGTCTCTATTGATAAGATCAAAGAATTGTTTCCATAGACTTGTTGTGCGTGTGGTGGTGCCATTTCTTTGAAGCAAACAATGTCAGGTGCTGTACTAACATTACAGTGGGACTGTGAGAGTGGGCACTTTGGAACCTGGGCTTCCTCAGATGTTCTTACTGTAAGAAATAATCAGAAAGTGTATGTGAACAATTTTCAAATGGCAGCAGCTATTACTCAGTGGAAATAATTTCTTGAAATTTAGCCTTCTGTCCGAGTTTCTTGGTCTAGAAATTATTTCTGAAACACTCTTCTACAGAATTCAGAAGCTTTATTGCTGTCCTTCTATAAAAAGGATGTGGAATGATGTTTATAAGGATGTGGTACATCAGCATTTCTCATAAAAAAAAAGCCTTTATTTAAAGAGGGTAGCACTTAATAGCCAAAGGCTAATAAACTTGTGGCCCTCATTTTAACGTCTCCTAATGGAGACGGGACCGCCATTTTACATGGTCATCCGAGCCACACAAAGGTCCAGCCGCCCGCAGGGCAAAGGAAGTACCTTCATTTCTCAGTTATTTTAAGACCCTAAGTATTGGTCCGGCCCCGGGAATCAAACCCGCGACCTCCCGCTCTGCAGTCAAGCGCTCTACCGACTGAGCTAATCCTGCCGCGGTAAAGTTCTGGAAGAAAAGACTCTCCTGGGCACACTGCACAATCTGTGTTTTATACACACTCATGGAAGAGAGTCTGAAGTTGTTAGTGGACCAGGAAGTGGTTAATTGTCAGGAGATGGGTGGAAAATCTGCCAACATGCAGGGTGCAAAGAAAGTCAGTTTTACAGCCTGCCATTCGGGCAAGCTGTAGCTAGCACGTACTAGCCCACAAGTCATTTCAACAAGCACCAAAACCCTTTTTGATTAGCAGGACTGATTACAATCCTTCTGTGATTTGAATTTCCCCAAAAAACAGCACTTGCCCGCTGGGAAAGTTAAGAACAAAAATCACTAGCCCGATAGGAAAATTCACTAGCCCCAGGCTATCAGACACGACTTTCTTTGCATGCTGACATGGAAAAACTGGCCCTTACTTAAGATTACTACAAAGGCTGAAGGATGTACTGAAAGTAGATCATTCACAGATGCATCACCATCTACTGTATCATAGCCTGCGTAGCATGGCGGTTTTGTCGAGCCAGGCGCACGAGCGGCAAAGCCGCGAGAAAAAGAAAAACCCGCCCCAATCTCCTCGTGGTTTTTCTGCCCTCACCCGCCTTTATTACTTAGCAACCAAAACCGCCATGCTACGCAGGCTAACTGTATCAAGGCACTGGTGTGGGGTCTAAAAGGTATAGCATTTCATTCCAATAATGAAATTATCTACATGTACCGTAAATCATCTATTAAGCCCCCCCATCTCAAATACGCCCCCCCTCTTATAAGCCCCCCTCCCCTCTTTCAGGGAAAGAAAGGGTTAGTTATAAGCCCCCACCCCCTTTCCCCCTCTATTAAGAAGGTGCAAATGGGGCAGGTGGCCTGTCTTTATCACCATGATAAAGGACCAGGGATATTGCTGTGCTGCTTCCATTTTGATGGGGTGCAAGTTCAATTGCTCATTTCCCTACCCATATGCCATTCCTTATTTATTTTCTGGGTGGAGTGTAGAAGCGAAGGACTTTCAGTAAATTTACTGATATCTTCCTTTTGCTAAAATAAAGTTGTTGCACCTAAATTGTAAGGGGTTATAGAAATTTAGTATATACACAATCAGTGATCTTGGTAATTCAAGCAATCTGATTGGTTAGCTATCTCGGACTATGACGTTATATTCACCACGCTAGGCGGTGAATATAAAGCAGAACAAAATAGCTGTCATAAACTGGGTGTTTTGCCAAAGTTTCATAGTAAAGCCTTTTTGAAAGTACACGAATATCCAAATGCTGATGACTTTGATGGCAAGAAAAGACTTCATGGTGTTTAAACAGGGTGATTTATTGTTAAGTGGTTAACTTCGCCTTTGGCAAATAATTATTTTGCGGAAGGCGAAGTTAATATTGTTGAATAATCGTCTTGGGGATTATTCAGCAATATTGTTGAACAATTATTGTTAAATATGTATAGAAAGTGGGTAAATGGCTCTTTTCAAAACTTATGTCTTAGGCCTTAAAATTATTGTTGCATATAAATATAATTATTTGCTTTGTTTTTCTTTTTTTTTTCACAGAAGGACCAGATTTAAGGAGTTCAGTAATAACTTTAAAAGTGTTGTGGTTCAATTTAATCCTTGATTTTAATTTTAATTTTTCTTTGCTTGTCATACAGTTGTGATGGTAAATTCCATTCTCAGATTGCAGTAAAATTTTTTTCCTCAACCAAGAGAGGATACAAGTGCACTTTGGTTCAATCTGAGAGTTGTTTTAACCTTCCATATAGACAATCTTTTTTTTTTTACTGCAGAACAAAATAGAGAACTCCAGGAAGTCATCCATTACCTGGACATTTGACACAAGTCCGCAAAACTTGTCAAGGCTTTGACTGATGTAATTATAAGTTAGATCCCAGATCTATAGTTTGTCTGATCAATATTAACCTTAAAATGCAGTGAGCATGATGTCTTTAAAATAAGCTACTGCTATTTTCATAAAAATAAATATCTCAACAGGCTCCTAACTTGAAAGACTGTGGTGCTATATGTGACTGGATTGAGCCAATTATACCAAACCACTTCTGGTTCTGTTGCCAACAAGCCAATGGTGATATGCTTGCACTAAAGGTATTGATTGTTACTTACTCTCAATCTTGTCTATTGTTACAGCGGCGGATCCAGGGGAGGGGCCCAGATGACCCCCCCCCTTATCTGAAGGGCTGGAACCGCCAATGTGTTATACACTTAGAACAAAGATAACAGACTATGAATACATTGGCAGGTTATCCTAGTGGCAATGTCATATAACTTAACTAAAGTAGCTTACCTTTATTTTTACTGCTACAAAATCTTTGCCATCAAAACCTCTTGCAGGAAATTGATTTCCATCCATCAGAAGATATAAGTAGTTCTCCTGTTGGAAGTATTCAAACTATTTTGATTTGTATGGCAAACTCACAAATGGCTTTGCCTCAAATTGATCAGGGAAAATTCAACACTGATTACATAAAATCTGGCAGGGCTTCCGATTGATGGTTCAAGCAAATTTCCCTGGCACAGGCGTAATACTCAAACCTTGAACACCTTCCTGAAACCTGTATTGTTGTTTTTCCAGGGATAAACAGCAGTTTGTTTCTTTTATTACTAAACTTTTGATTGACCTTTGAAAGTACCATAGATTGTTCAGCATTTACAATGAACTTTTGCTTATTCTTCCTCCATCTCATTTTCTTTTGAAAACAGCTTTTGGGAAGCTTTTTAGTGTTACACTTGCTTTATAACCAATCAGAAGTTTTGGTCAGATCTGGGCAGATTTTACATCATCAATATGATATTTTTGCTGTTGTTCCTCAGACGCCAATTCCACGCGAAACTACTGTAGTAGTGGTGCTGTGAATTCTCGACTGTTTTTTAAGCTATAACAAGAATGAAAATTGTAACTTGCTTTTCTGCCGCGTGTTATACTTCTAGGACATGTGGCAGGATGTTCTTCATCATGTGGTAGGAGAACATGAATGGAGTGATGGCCAGTGCTCTCACAGTCTACTCGTATTATCTGATACTGACATACCACTCCTTGGAAAAGGGTCCGAGGCAATAGAAGCCCTAACAAAGGTCATATTGGACAAGAGATGGCTAGAAAGTTTGGTCTTTTATGTTTGGTTCAAGTAAGCAATTTTGTTCTACAATAGGTAAAAATTTATGAATTTAGTATTCCTTTGCTAGATCCAAAAAAGCCCAAAAATTGGGAAGCAGCTTTTAAGATTTACATATGAAATAATAGTGTCCTTTTTTAGCCTATTCTAGACCTGCATGTACGCAGGCATGTACCAACACTTAACATGCTAATACTACCGTAATACAGTTTTTAAACATTTTTTCACATAGATATTTACATACAATTTATTAATAAACATTAATGGGAACTAAATTGTGTGATTTTTGATTGTAGGCATACCAGTTTGCTTGAAAACTTCAACAGCAAGATGCTTAAGTATGCCCCTAAAAGAAATGCCTTTGAGTAAGAATCTATTTTTTTTACCAAGGATCTTGCAATCATTGTATTGCAAGATATTTCATCCTAGTTACAGTTCTACATTTACCTTGTTTTGCTTGCTTAGATATATACAGAAGAGAGAGTTTTATTTTTATTTCATAGCTTTTTGTGCCCTGAGGTGCTCCTTGCTGCTCTTGACCATAACATGCACAGCTTTAGACCACAAGCCACCACCAAAAGTGGTCACCTAATCTTCAAGAAGCAGTATTCAAACAGAACTAAGAATTGGCACCCTGAACCATTTAGGGCTGAAAAAACCCATCACTATATCCAGTTCCTGATGGCCAGCATCCTAAAGGCAAGAGTGGATGACAAGGAAAGTGCTGCAAGGGTTATTTCTCTTCCATCAGATCACCCAAGGAATCTGGCCCCAACCATTGTCTTGCGAGAAAGCCCAGAACTGATTTATTCAAGGATTATAGAAGCAGATTTGACTCCAAAAAAGAGTGAGGATTCAGTGAAACCAGTTTTCTGGGTGCTGATCAGAGGTCTGGCGTATGTTCTTTTTATCATTGTTGAAGGAACTCGCTACAGACATACAGTCACCTGAACAGTTTGATTCCGCTGCCCAAAAAATTTTAAATCGAAATTTATTCATTATATTATTATTCATTGGTTGATGCATGCTGTTACTATGAAATTAGAGTCACTTCATAAAAAAAATTATTTCTGAATGAAATGCTATGTTCATTACTTAAATATTATTTACACTGTATTTCAATGAAATTTTTTGACACTAGAGTGAATAGAATATTTCTAAGTCAGAGACTCATGGGATCACAAGAGAAGTGGAACTGTTTATACTCTTGTCTACAGATCTGGGCCTCAACCCTCACTAAAAAATTAGGGGCAAGCCCAGACCTGGTAACTTTATGGTTTTGGTGATAACCTTGGTCCTTTAAAATATGCTGATGATTTGAGTGCAGTCATTCTTACCAACGTGATGTAATAGACAAACACTCATTGTCATCCTTTCTTAATGTTTCTTAATGTTCTAGCCTGGGATACAACAACAGGAAACTAAAAAGGGCTGATTTTCGAAAAGAAAGTCTTCAACATTGTCACACCTCCTCATGAAAAATATCCAACAATGTTTAAAATGTTTTGGTTCAAAATTGAACAAGTAACTATATTGTACCCTATCCAATGCAATGCAATGCAATGGTTTTAATTGTGAAAGGAAAGCATGAGGTATTAACATATTTTGTGGTCCTTAAGCCATGGTTATTGAATTGGAACTTGTTATTTGACTCCAGTTACTCATTTCGTTGATGGAGAACAGTACAAACAAGGAAACTGGTTGAGATTACTTTACAGCCTAGGTTCCCACTTCTTGTTGGTGGGATAGGGAAGAGACCATAGGTGTACAGTAGGCGGGGGTGAGGGGTGTGGCTGGACAAGAGACCATAATGCATGGGTGCTTACCGTTTGCACAAACCATCTGATCGCAAATTTGATGCATAACCAGTTAACTGGTGAATTTGACCTTGTGTAGGAAGAGCCTGCTACAAAATGTAGCCAGATCAGCTTAAGAGACTGAGAACCGTAGAGAAAATGTATTGCTTTGCATGACAGCCCGTGTTTTCTTTCTTTCCAAACAGAATGAGGTGGACCATTTGATTTTCCAACCAGAATGTCCAGTTTACCTGTACCCCATATGTCTGAGCAGCTGAGGAGGGCGGAGTTGGGTGGGAGATCATATCTTTAAAGGTATGGGGATGGGTTTCAATAAAAAATCATGAGTCTCGGCAATTATGGGGATGGTGAGACATCAACCTCTTATGGGAGATGGGGAGGGAGATAACTGACTAATCTGTAGGTTGCACGCGCAATGCATTATTTTCAATAACAATTCAGGTTCCGTGCGACCGTTTATTTGTTGTTACCTTCTTCAAAACAATGTGTAATAAAACAATTTATAATTAGATTCGGTTTTTGCGATGTCCTAAATGATCAAGGTTGAGGTAAGTGTTCTCAGCCTCAGCCTTCGGCTCGGTTGATAACACTTAACGTCGACCTTGATTATTCCGGATATCACAAAAACCTCATCCAATAATTGTTTACAAACGCACGCGTTCCCGATTGCATACAAGCGCGTGCCCCACATGATAACGCGCGCCGGCGTGCGAGTAGACAAAAAGTGAGTAATTCACGTGAAACTAAAGTCCTGACTGATTCATTGGTTACTAGGACCCACAGTCCCATATTTGAAAATCAATTTGGCGACTAAACGGCTGCCTTACTTTGTGGCATTTCCGTCTGGTACTGACTGTCAGACTACAAGTAGTCCCCCATTTTTCCTTAGGGATAGCAGAGCGCGCGTGAAAATCACCCCACGCGAGAAAAGGCGACACGCGGCGGGGAGAGAGAAACATGAGGGACTACAGACGAAGCCCAAGCTTTTGAATATCGCTTTGAAACTTACCTTTAGCGTCTTCTTGTTTTTCTTTGTATTCTGAGTGCATTTCAGACCTCCTAGGCACTGTTTAATTTAATACCTTTTTTTGAGCGACGGTTTTTCACCCAAATGACAGTAGAAAGAGGAGAAGAGAAGTTCTCTTCTCTTCCCTCTACTGTCATCTGGGTGAAAAACTGGTGACATCTTGGTAAGCTTCAATGTGATATTCAATGTACATTTTGCTAATTTAGTGAGCAAAGAAAATTTCTCCAAACAACATCTTATAATTTTCTTGCTGTATGAATAATTAATTAGCTTAGATGGCTATTGTTGTGTTCGGGTTCTCGGCATCCTAAGAGACCTGAAACGCAGTCAACACAAAAATAAACATAACAAAATACTAAAAGGAAAAATTCAATGTACGTTTGCTCAATTATGGAGAAATAGGATGATTCTCATACAACGTCTTATAATTGTTGCCGCATGAATAATTAATTAGCTAATAGATAATGTTGCTCTGGGCTCTCATAGTGAGCTTGGGCTACCTGTGGTGGAGCATGATCGTCTGGGTGACAGTAATTGACGTTTTGACAACCTTTGAGAGATGGTAGATGACACGAAAGACGAATTCCATATTTGTTTTATTTAGTACATTCAAATAATTCCTACATTGTAGGTTACAAAAAAGCCCAAAACATGCCCACTTCCATCGATGTTAAGTTCATCTTCGATAGAACATGTTAATCGGCAAGTTTAGCAAATGTTCAAATATTCTCCAAATATCAGATGTGGTCCTTCGAATTGTCTTTTTGCTATGTTTTAGCCAATATTTCGTCTATGGCCTATTTCTTCCTTGTGAAGTCTGTGAAACGAGTGAAATGTAGTCATTACTAAAACAACTCAAACTCGTCCCAGGTCTTCTCCGTTAAAGGTTCAATAATCTGGCAATTTTACTGCCCTTCGTCAACTATTGACATCATTTTTCAGATATCGCAAAATTCCTCTAAATTTGGTCGACAATAGCTGGTTATGATGAATTATGCATGGTATTTTAGCCAATCAGAGACAGTGAGAGATACTTTAATAAGCTAAGGGAACGGTCATTATTTATCGCCTGGGATTTTGGGGGGGGGGGGAGTCACTTGACTTTTAGGAGAACAAAAGGGGGATCAGTCGTAACTGAGAACCCAAAAGGGGGATCACTGAAAAATTTGGAAGGATTCAGAGGGGGTACCACTCAAATTTGCTTGGAAAATGAAGACATGGGGGGGGATTGCGAAAGTCATCAAACGTTATTAGGGGAATCACTTCAGTGAAGTAACATTCAAAGGGAGGATCGGCTAAATTTCACCATGTTTAGCCCCAAATCCTCCGCCGCAACCCCCCCGGCGATAAATAATGACCCGTCCCTAATAAAAGAGGGTGGGAGTCGGGAATGCAGCTAGGGTTCGGGAGACGGGAGGTTTGGACCCTCTAGCCTTCGTCCTTTCCCAGTAGACAAGCCACAAGCTGCATGAAGCTTCCAATTAGTTTTAAAACCTAAAAACCCAGTCTCAAAGAGAAAACAACACCACCATGCAGTGCAAAATCCATACACCGGGCCACTCTTGCCGATAGAATATCTTGGACAGTAGAGATTGGAAATTTATACCTCTCCTCTTCCCCCAGCCCCTGCCCCAAATCTAGGAAAGGAAAATAGCACGTTTTGGCTTTTGCGAAGCTTCATCCTTGATTTGGGGGGATGGGGGCGGGGGTGGGTTTGCTTGCTGTTCCATTTTATTCTGTCCAAGATTGTAGTCAAGATTGCGTTGGGATGGGCTGTGAGAGGAAAAATTTGTATCGGTCAATGAGCATTGACTCAATAACAGGATTATAAAAATAAGTTACTTTGACTTTAGACTCTACTGGCGCTTTTCCATCTTAAACACTTAAAGGTCAATGCGCATATTTGACGAAAAATAATAACATGCGAAAATAAAAACAGACGTCACAGCAGGGTGAAGAACCGTGGATTGCTTTCACTTTCGACTCGACCTGGCTTGTCCGTCTCTTTTTTCTTGGTGCTCAACTGATTCTCTCCCATTTCATTCCGGAAAAAATTAACAGTCAACAGTGAGAAGACCCAAAAGTAAGTGTACAATTAGCAGACACGTACCGTAGTCTAGCGACGGCCATATCGACTTAAACGGTTCTGTACAAAATTGTTAGCCGCTATAATTGTATCGCAAACGGAGAACCGGGGGGAGGGGTGTTTACGTGTGCTTTCTCAATGTCTTATTTCACAGTTAGGTGTCTGAACCGTCTCCGGCTAAACCGAATGGTCACAAACATCTATTATAATGTTAATGAAGGAATAATATATTCAAATATATTGTCCTGCCCCTTGTACTGTGTGTTTGGCTTAAGGTGGCTCCGTAATTAACCCAAGGGCATTTAGCTGTGACAAATTTTCCGTCATAACTTTTTCGATTTTAACGCGATGGCTGCGAAACTTTGCAATTAACAACAGATATCATTCGGCAATAATACGAAATATTCCGATTTCATTGATGGTAAATATTTCTTGAGAAATTAGCGCTTAAAAGGACCCTACTGTTCAAAGAAAATCGCGTCTAGTAAAAAATTTTGCTGATATTTTTTACTGAAATTTCTGGTATCGGCTTTAATTGATATAATAAATATGCCAGAGGAATTTCAGAAAAATCGTTGGAGCAGAAGTCCGTAACTAAAAGTCGGTCAAAATTCAGCTGTGAAATTGTTTTGGAATTTCAAAAATAAATTACTATCAGAAAGAAGGAGACACCAGTTTCAATTTTCGGGACAAGCAACTTCAGTGTGTTTCCTAATTCTGAAAACAGAAGCCGATTGCCTATCGTGCTATTCTTTAAAAGGTACTTTTCAGTTTTAGAAGCACTATAAATTGCTCCAAACTTTGCTCTGACATCGAATGACTTGTTCCTCGACATTTTTAAAATATCCCTTGGCAATTTTGGTTCAAACTCCTGCTA